ATAAGAGTACTTGTGAGTACTTGAAAATATATTTAAATAGAAATCAAAGTGTGTTTGTAGACACATTTTATAAAAACAAAAAAAAGATGAAGATGAAGCAATGACATTAAATGAAGAACCTAACACTTCTAAAGACAAGGCTTTATTAATCCAAAAGATAAGCAAGGATGATTCATAATTATAAGAAGATATGCATGAAAATCAACCTTCAATTAAAATGAGATATTTAAAATAAAATAAAAAAATACTTATTAGAGACAATAATGTTTAACAAGAACAATCTTCATCTAATAAAACAAGATATCCTATGAGAAAGAGATGGCTACTTTGTGAATGCTAAAAGAAGCACATCTTTTTTCAAGTAAGTAAAAGACCTACAAATATTGTTCTTCTTGATGATCCCTTCTATTTGTGTGATGACATCAAAACTTAAGATATAATTAAGTAGAAGAAGACTATGCAAGAAGAATATAAATCTTTTGTAGATAATAATACATAGGGATTAGCTCTTCTTTCAACAAACTAATTTAGTATTAGTTATAATTGCATCTTTAGGATCAATAGAGATAAAAATAATAGAAGATGTACAATAAGATATGCATTTTTTCTTGAAGTAGGAGCCATTTCATGGAATTGCAAGAAGCAATTTACCATAGCAAGATCAATTATAGAAGCTAAATACATTGCAAGAAGCTCTTAAACAATAGAAGTAATTTGGATAAAAAAAACTCTTTAAAGACATTAGATAGGTGCAATTAGAAGCAACACTAATTATATGTGACAATCAAGGATGTCTTGTATTTTCTAAAAATCCAAAGCACTATTTAAGAACTAAGAATTTTAAAATTTAACATCATTATATAGCAAAGAAGATTTAATATTGTAAAATAAGTGTGAAGTATTGTACTATAGAAGATATGCTTGCTAATGTGATTATAAAGACATTAATAAAGCATAGATGTTACAAGTTTATAATTCATTAGAATTGAGATTCTTTTAACAAATAACAAAGTAGAAGTGCTGAAGATCAAGAAACTATGATTGCTTACTACTACTTAGAATCTAATCTTGATAAGTTGCTATTAGTCAAAAGGCAATAAAAGCTTAGGCAAAGTTATTAAGATGAAGATTATTATAAATAAAGATCATTTACATCCAATGTAATATATCCACAAATGCAAAGTAGGACAAAAATAATTGTAGATGACGTTTAATTACATTTGATGTAATCTTTTTATCAAAGCTAAATGCAATGAAGATGATTGCAGGTGAAGTTCAATTACAATGTGATGTAATCTTCTACTTATATGTAAATAGTGTTAGAAAAGAAAATCATCTTATTCTACATTTTTCTTTGTGTGTAATCTTGCTAATTTTAAATTTTTATAACATTCTATTTTTATTTTTATTTTTAATATTTTATATTTTAATTCATTAAAATTCAAGCCTAATTAATACATATACTATTTAAAACCTTAAATAGAAATTCTTATGGAAATATTTAGAAAATATGTTATTTAAAAATAAATATTTAATTATAGGGAAAAATAAAAAATTATAAAAAATATAGTAAAAATAAATATATATTAAATTTATTCTAAATATAAAAATAAAAATAAAACTTATAATCTCTTTAAATTTTAATCTAATTAAAAAAATTAAAGACTAATAAAAAAATAAAATTATTATTAAAAAATAAGAAAGAATAATTAGAGTTTTGGAGTACTTAGATAGATATTGTATAGATACAATTTTTTTAATATGAAAAGCAAATACAAGATAACAAAATCTACAAAGACATAGCTTTATTTAATAACCTATGTACATAAGTATTTATTCATCTTCAACGTGTAATATCTAAAAAATCTACTTTAATAATAAATATCTTCTACATCAAAGATTAAAGAATTTAAAATAATACATATATATATATATATATATATATATATAATTTAAATCAAGGCATATAAGAAAAAAAATTATGAATATGAAAGAACTTATAAGATACTATAAAAATAATGCAAAAAATAAAACTATTTCAGAAATCTAGGAAGAAATTTAATTAAAATATTTTTTTATGAATGCACATCAAATAATCTAATCTAGTTTACAGGACATTGGTACCCAACAAATCTTTAAAATAACACATACCAACTTACTACAAATTTTTGAATATAAATAAGAAAAGAGATAAACTTAATTTTGAATTAGGTAAAAAAACATGTAAGAAAAGAAGTACCAAAATTTCTTTGATGTAATAAATTTTAATATACAAACATATATACATATATAAATTATATTAGAACTTTAAAATAAAAATAGATCTATAATTACATATATCTTTTTAGAAAGTATATATTTTAAGTTTTTTTTGTCTATGTACATATGTGTATATATATATATATATATATATATATATAGAGAGAGAGAGAGAGAGAGAGAGGTAACATAAGCTTTAAATTCTTTATAATATAAATTCAAAAGAAAATCAAGAATTCTGTGGATATGAAATTAATTAACCCTAAAATGTAATCAAGAATGTGGATAAAGATATAACAAGAAAAAAAAATCTTGAATTGAATTGAATTGGATTAGAATTGTTAAAAGTTCAATAAAATTTTAAAAAGACTATTTTAAATAGTCCTTCAAACACTATTCAAGAGCCACTTTCTACAAAATACTACAAAATATATAAGATTCTTATTCATAAAAGTAGAATATAAATAATTATAGATAATCAATCTTTATTATTTCTATTCAATTCAATATTTTTTTTATTTTTCTTAAGCTTTTTTTAATATTTCTTAGATTATATTTATTTTTTATTTAATTTAAGATCTTTATATATTTTTTAAAAACAACTGCCAAAGTCATCTATTATGAACTATCATAAATGCTTGAAAAAATTATACATCTTCATTACATTATACTTTTTCTTTTCAAATTATTCATCTTGGATAATATCTCTATGATTTAAAAAACCATAAGATTGGTCAGAGCACTAAAAATCAATTCTTCTTATTTAAATATTATTTCTTCAAAATTTATAATAAAGTCTTATAAGCATTCCTCTTTAGGCAATAGAAAAATTAGAATTTCATAGGTAATATTATTTTTTATAAAATTAATTTTTAAAGTTAAAAAAATAGTTAGAATAAATATTTTTTTACTTTTAATAATATTATAGAAAGAAGAATGCAATAAGGTTGTTGACTATCAACCTACTTGATTATAACTATTGGAGAAATTTTAAATTTTTGTACTATAGAATGTTGTTAAAAATGCATTACAATTCCAAGGATTCTAAATCAACAAACCTTATGCCAATATGCACATGATTCTACCCTTACAATTAGAAAGAAAGGAAGGAATATTTTCAATCTTATATACATACTTTATTGATTTAATATATTATTAAGATTAGTAATCAATTGGTATAAATGCATAATATATTGATAATTTTAAAAAGTGATAAGATTACAATAGAAACACATGTTTGGTTGGACATAGGTATAAATTAATGATATATATATATATATATATATATATATATATATATATATAAACTTTAAGAATCTCCTTTGATTTAATTTTATATATCCATAATAAAGATTGATTTTCAATTAATTTTTGAAAGAAGGATAAGATTACTAGTTGTTAAGGAAATGAATTATGATTGCCAAAGAAATGCCTTTTTAAAACCTCTTTCTCTCTTTTGTCTATTTTTTTGTATTAGCTATTATAGCTAGCTAATTAAAAGCAATTGAAAAATTATTATGATGCTACAAAATTTCCTATGGGACAACATACAATTGCTAACATGTATCAAAGCACCTTAGAGTATTTGCTAAAAAAGAATGGATTATAATAGACTTAATATTATTAATCTAAAAAATATAAAAAATCAATCTAAAAATAATATAAAATAAATTAATTTATCCCTCTAATAATCTTAATCTAAAAGGAGGTTTTGTAAAAACATTAAATAACTCATAAAATATTAACCAAAAATAAAAATTATATAATTATAAAACTATTCTATAAACTACAAAAAGACTTAATGTTTGATCCTAAGATGTATTCTTAATCTTCTACAGTAGATCTAATATCTTATTTTACAAATCTAAGCAAGAAACTAACAAAAAAGAATCAACAATCTTAAAACTTGAATTCATTTGCATAAAAATATAGCTATTAAATATAACTTTTAATTTAATTAGAAAAATGGTCACTTTACGGTTTTTATAAAAGTTAATATGTTTATAGACTATTTGGATCTTATAAAACAAATATATATATATATATTCAAAAATAAAATTTAGTTACTTTCATACCTAAAAATTGAAATGATCTGACTTAATAAATATATATATATATATATATATATATATATATATTGTATAAAATTACATGTATTAAAATTAGAAAATAACTTAATAATGGTAAAAAAATTCTAAAATAATAGATCTAATTATGGATAAGAAGAGATATGTTTGAATTTTGAATTTACATTCCTATTAGTTGGAACTTATGAGTTTTATAATATAACTTAATAATCTTCAAAATTATATAGTTCAGTGTAATTTAGCTAAACTTAATTCTTTCCCTTTATGGCTCTTATATGTGCTCTTAATTAAAAGTATTAGAATACATTAGTGTACATGTTTACTTTCATCATAATCAAAGCATTGCATATACTTAGTTGTGTGTCAAAATTCATTATAAAGCTAAAAAAAATTTTCATTATCTTTTTATTTCGAGCAAAAAACTTTTAATAAAACTAGTATGACAAATTATGCTTTGTAAAACCATTCTCAACTATTTCTCATAACTTACGTTTAGTTGGTCATTTTGAGATTTCCGATGGATATCATGGCTTTCAAGGTTTTCTATGATTATCCGCTATAATTTTCAACAGATACGATATCAAGTCTAGCCTTAACCTTTCCACACAACAAGAGAATTTACGTTTTCATCAAAAAAACTGTGAATCTGCAGTGTAATATAGATAAAAGAGCCATTTGCTTGTGGTAGAGAAAACCCCACATACTATATTCAAAATTGTGCACACCCAGCTGCAGTGTCACAGTTGGTGTCACCGAGGAGCACTAATTTTGAGAAGAATCCATCAACTAAATAGTGATTCAGTTCAGTAGATATTATTCTACAGATCCAAAGTCAGAAACCTCAAGTGGAGTGAAATCACCTAACCCTGTTAATGAAAAAAACAAAAATAAAAAGCTCGTGCATAGAAATAAGAGAATAAGTAAAGGTGGCACGGAAGGCAGATACCCCTCGGTATCTCCACTATGAAGCAGACTAAACGGGTCATCGATGTCATCGAGAATGAGGTCTACGCTTTAATCAGTGTATGATATGATCAAGGATGAAGTACTGTGTGGCTAGCTTTTCTAGGACAACATTAGTTACATTTGAAATATGCAATTTGGTGCACTATTTTGTGGGACCCGCGTCTCTACGTTAGGCCTAATTATGTAGCTTCTTTAGACATGAGAGCGTTGCAAGTCAAAGAGTTCAGAGACCTGCAAAGTTGTGCCTGCTCAATAAACGCATCGATCAACATTTTGCGCAAAGCTGCTTCAGAGTCTTTGTCAGTGTAGAAGGTAACCCCAGAATCACCATTACTTTCTTCGTGTAGTCTGGGTGAAGGCCAATGCGTTGATGAGTCGGCTTTGCGGAGCTCCTCGTCCTCCTGTACAAGTAACTGAGCCTGTGATCCATTTTACTTTCAGGTCAATGACATTTTTTCATGAGGAAGTAACCAATGTGCATGTGCACGTGATTCGATAATTCTCGAAGGAACCAATTACAGTACAATGCAAAACTAACAGAATAAAATGAACTTCGTTAGCCTTGCTCGCAAACTGTTCCACTAATGACAGCCCAAAACGTACACTACACCATTTTCAATATCAAGGTTGGAAGTTATATCACCTGTCCGATCAGAAGGCTGATGCGGCTCTCGAAAGTAGCCACCATATCTGAAGCCTCGGTCCGTCCTAGAGAACCATTTCTTTTATAAAGCTCATCCATGTTGCATTCCCGTAAACGAGCCTGCAACATTGCTATTTCACGTACAAACTTGACTCGTGTTACCTGAGCCTTCTCTTGCTTTTGCTTCTGTTCGCTTAGGATTGCCTGTGGTTGTACCAAAAGAATGGTCCCGATACTGGAAGTGAGTGACTAAGAATAATCCACCTGCAATTCCAAACATATCTTCGAAAAATTTAACATAGAAGCCAAATGGGAGCTACATTTACACAAAGTAGAAGTATGAACAAGCTCACCTCCAAGGAGGCCTTGGCCTGCATAGCTTGCTTCACCTCTTGCTTGATTTCCATATGTGAAGCTCGTAGATTCTTTACTTCTTTCGCCAAAACCTACACGACAAATAATCAAGAATTGTCAGCGTATGAGATTGCATGATGTAAAAACTTTATGGATTTCTTGCCTTTGAATTTCGACGCACCGACTGTAAAGATAAGGTGAAAATCATCCGCATACCTTCTTCTCCGCACGTGCTTGAGCATCCACAGAATCACCTTCTTGTTGAAGTGAGTGATATTGCTGATTAACATCCGCCAACTCCTTCTCCATCGTTTCAAACTTAGCCAAAACTTCTTGAAGTTTTTCTTCTAACTGACCCTTTGAAGCCTGCAGAATCCAGATTGATAAAACAACTAGGTTACGTTTCAAAAGCTTCTTACAACTCGACTCTTTCAGTATTTCTCGTACTCTTGCTAAGGTGAATTGTACAGTTGAATCCAAATTAGGACAAATCTAAGATTTCTAGTGCAGTTCAATTAGTTTCAAAACAAAGGGAACAGTCGTGTGAGTTTCTATGTCATTGTTTTCATGTTTCCTTCACATCAGTGTTGCAATCTTGTGGAGATCGAAAAATTGAATCGTTGGAATGATGAAGCATCTTCAATGCTACGCATAGGCAGACACACTTCAACGTCTAATTACTAGAGTCCATATGTATCACTCGAACCAAGAATCAAAAGCCCATTCTCTTCAGTATAGTATGTTAATCTTCAAAGATGATTAGGTACATAGTTAGCCCAAGAAGTGCGGTCACACAAGGATGTAAGGTGTACTTGTAAAGACTGAACGTTCTCTTCGCTTGACTGCAAAGCCACACGACAATCATCTAGCTCCCATTGCAGAGAGATCATGCGTTCTCGTTCTGCCCAAACAGCTCGCTGCAATACCTCTCGACTCTTTCGTCGCATTCCATCAATCTCACTTTCTAAGTCTCTCACCTGCCAGAACAAGCCAAAATATGTGAGCCTTCCGTCCTATTGCAGCAAATCTCGCAAAATCAGTCAGAGTTTTGTTGAATTAAGCAAAGTAAATCTATACCATTGCTGATGGTCTTGAGCAACACGAACTTCATTCATAGCGTCTTATCTACTTGGTCAAACTGCGAACTATATCATCAAGTTAATAGTTGACAGTAGTAAACCCATAATGCTACCTTAGTTGTAAGGAATTCTTTAACAGCAGTTTCTTGACTCAGGCGACCTAGCAGATCTTCCATGTCAGTTTTCGCAGTCAAAAAGCGTCTCTGCAATGTACCCATCACTCGCTTGACCTTGCTTCGCTGGTCAGCTGGAAACACCGTTCCTACCCCTTTCAAGGACTCTGCGTCTGGCGAATGAGGTTCACCACTTGGATTAGCACCTGATGAACTCATCAAGGGGTTTTCAGTATGTAAATCCATAGACACACCTCTTAAAAGGTCGCTTCCTGGAGCAGAGCTTATCTCGCTGGATAGACTTTCCTGAGATGTTCTGTGTCTGTGCCGAGACCCTAAACTCAAAGGAGATTTTAGACTTGTTTCGTCTAAGCTTGTCCCTGCCAAACCAACCTGGTTCACAGTTGTAACAGCTGGCATTTCCTGACCATTCGGCGGTTGATTCTGTGATGATGGCTGTGCGCAAACGGGACCACGATAAATACATTGATGATTTTGCTATTGAGTGGAAAGAAATGACCGCGTGGGTTTCCACGTGATAAATGACTCAAAATGAATAACGATGAATCAAATGACTAATTCATGTGAAAATATTCATGGTACCAAAACAAGCCTATGGGCTAACATGCTTTTCAAACTAGTAAAACAATACTAATTGCACTACGTACATAAGGGAAAGACATGCACACAAAACAGTCTAAATGGACACACCTCATCTGCTGCGACGTAATCCATAAACACTGCTCGAGTCTGCATCCCCATCCCAACTCTTTCACTACTGTTACTGATCAACCCCACTGAAGTGATCTTCTCTTGCTGCTGATTCTCTCTACTCTCTATTGCTGCAGCAATACTAGCAGTCTGTTCTTCAAGAGCCAGAGCTTCCATTTCTGCCTCCAATTCACCTTCACTGCCTTTGCTTGGAGTGCCTACGACGGAGTTCTCGTAGGTCGCATCACTTCCATAATCCAAAGTAGAGTAACCGTGAGATACTACTGAGGAACCACCTCCAGTCCAGGATACTCCAGAGCGAAGTTTAGAAGTGGATTGCAATGGAATGCTGCTGGTCACACTCAGCTGCGATTGCCTTTCTGAGATTGCTACAAACAATCACAATCACCACTATGAGGAACCGGATACTGAGAGTGGAGGTGTTTTCGAAAAAGATTTCTGCCAACAATCAGGCACGTGATGATTAACATAAATGGGGCTTGTCGAAACATACCAGATCGGACTGCAGCCTCCAGCTCCAGGAATGAGGCCAGGGGTACACTACGGGAGATATCGATATCAGCGAGTAACCTTCCCATCCAATCCTCCAAAGTATGTCTTCTCTGCGCAGGAGAAAATAAAGCTTAATCAGTCATTGATTCTGATATGTTCATGCGGTGTAACCTCCTCCATACGAATAAAATAACATGAAATAAAATAAACGGTCTAGAAACTGAGTTTTCGAAATCCTTCCACATAAAACCCTAGTCCGCTTTAAATAGCCGGTAACCACTTCTAGCATATATACAATTTCATGAAACAGAAACTTCAACCTTACCTCCTTAAGAAGAGCCTGGTTTGAATTGATCCTCATCAATGAATTTTTAGGAGGAGCTGCTGGTAGCTTCTTCTTTGGAAACAATTTCTTTACCTACAAAAATCTCCAGAAAATTAAATAGGGCATACTATGAAGATACGAAAAAAGTTGTTATGTCATGTTATCACGATTAGCGATAACAGGAAGACAAGTTAGTGATGACGGCGACAAAAAACCAGAATTTTGGACTGTAGATGTGCCCTAATCGTAAGCAACTGGAAGAGAAAGGAAAGGTACATATAAAGCTCAGGGTCACATAAGCGCATGTCAATTCAATACAATGTTTCATAGAAGAATTCAGCTTCGTAACCAACCGCAGCATGCAGCTTTAGAAAATCGCTGAACCTTCTAAGAATTGGTCGCAATGTGCTGATGCCATCTGGAGACTGAATACCGACTTGTACTTCGAAGAACTGCCATACATACATGAATTTCAAACTAAAATCATCACGAGTACAGAGAGATGAACCTTGTCAACAGCGTTGTTCAGAGGTTGATATTCCGAATACACAACACTCATGTTTCCCTTGATTAAAACACATATGCAACAATCAAAGATAGCGAGCTGTACTTCGGCGAACGAAAAGCTATAGAAAAAATGTAAGATACCACTTTGGGGTTGATGGCTTTTCCATCAGATTCTTTTCCCTCGGGAACAGCCACCCACGATGGAATAAACACACAATAGCTCCAGCCTGTGCGAGGATCATGCGGCCACACAGTCTGTGGTCCGTTCTGTATCAATCAAATCCAAAGGATCTCAGGTTGGTATCTAGTGCAATCACATCTTGCAGACTAAATCCATAATTGCATCGACACCTGCGTCAAATCATTAAAGACGTAACAAAAAAATTCGAGACATATGCAAAGTAAGAAAACCATTCTACGGCAGTGCAAAGTCCTATAATGAAAGTCTTGCCAACATGAAATCACATTGATGCATGACCGGTGTCAAATTACACTATTAGCTGCTCAACATGTGTGCTAATCTACTCTAGCCTGACAGGAACCTCAAAGCCTGCTTCAGTACCAAGCAAACTCAGCTTGCAATAATCGACTTCTAACAGTTTCAGATACAGATTGCGTTCCTCGAGTTTATACAACAACCCCAACGCATAAGTCGGAACAAGCTAGGACAAACCCCAATGCACAAATGTGACCAAGCGTTTTTTCCTTTTTCTTTTTCCGACAGATTGGGGGAAGGAACCTAACATATAAACCCTTCTGACTTAGGCAATCAATTACAATAGGGTTATATGCTGCGAACCGTGGCAATCAGATCCAGCGAGAGAGGTTCAGGGACAAACCCAACGAGCAGGGGCAGGGCTGGCGTCCATCCCCAGAGGTAGGGGCGACGATCCATCGTGTCTGTGCCGAGGTGGGCTTCTCCCGGCCATTACATGAACCTGAATGAATCCCACGCCTCCCCTTTGTGCACAGCAGCTCGAAATTTCTTTCTGGCCTGCAAACTACCGCATCAGAGGGCAGGAATTGGACGCAACGGGACCGGGGGGCCGCAGCAGAGGCAATGGATTGAATCCCCACACACTGGATTCGTCTCCTGCTTCTTGTTGCGCTTCTCCTCGTCGTCGTCGTTCTGTGCCTTCTTGCGAGTTGATCGATCTCTCTGCGTCCCGGCATCGGTTTCCCCTACACGAGCTTGCAGTGTGAACGGAGGTTGGATTTGGATGGCCGTGTGAATGGGATTTACTTTGTGGTCATAGTGTGAACGAGGGTTGAATTCTGATTGTAGTGTGAACAGAGCTATTTTTAACGGGAGGTGGTTCCCTTCCGAATTGTGGAGGGCACGTTTGGTTCGCTTCGTCGTTCACGTCCAATGGAACTCTGCCTTCTCTTGGGAACATTATTGCCTCTCAAGTTCATCGAATTTGTTGAGAGTATTTTAGAGAAAGAGAGACAATAGTGGCTGGAAGTAATATGCATACATATGTAAACACACACACACGAAGTAAGTTTATTGATAGGGTTAGATCCTTTATACAAAGAGAAGGGGAGAAGATAAACAGTGTCTCCCTACTACATTCCAAACACTGTAGCTACAATAAATACTGTAGATTATAGTAAATAGCATGGAGAGCAGTGGCTACATTTAATGCTCTCATCACTCCTCCTCGCATGTCATAATATTTGTATGCATAGAATTATGATCTATATTTTTTTTTGTAATCTTGTAACTTCAACAACTGCTACTTTATTAAAACCTTATTTAAGAAAACTTTATTATATTTAAAGATAAAACATAGATAAAGGAAAAAGAATACAACTTTATCTCAAGAATTCATTAACTTTCTTGCTTAAGAAAAGCAAATCTTTGCATGCCAATGCCATAAGTAAATCGGCGATGGTTGCACAAAGGGAGAGCTTTGGTGAGGAGATCAACAAGATTATTTGCAGATTCAATTTTCTTGATCTTAAGTACTTGATCAGTAACCAAGTCATGGGTATAATTAAAATACTTTAGATCAATATGTTTTTTCATGTCCCTTTTAATGAAACCAATTTGTATTTGTGCAACACAAGTGCTATTATCTTCATACAAGATAGTTGGAGAATCATCATATAAAAATCCACATATTATTTGAATGAGTTTATCAATTGATCACAACCAAATACATTCTCTAGATGCCTCATGTAAAGCAATAATTTTTGCATGGTTGGATGAAGTTGCAATTATACTTTGTTTAATTGATTTCCATGATATTGCAACTTCATGTCTTAAGAATACATAGCTTGTTTGAGATTTAGCTATTGCAATATCAAATTTATATCTTGCATCAAAATATCCATCCAATTTTGGATCTGCAGATCATATGTAGTATAATCCCAAATCTTTAGTGCCTTTTAAATAACGTAATAAATGTTTGATACCATTCTAATATAGTAGTGTTGGATGTGCATTATGTTTTGTAAGAACACTAACTACAAATGTAATATCTGGTCTAGTAGATGTGGCTTAATATAAAAGTGCTCCAATTACTGCAAGGTATGGACATTGTTCTCCTAATATTTCTTCTTATTCGTCATATAGATAGTATGGATCATGACCATCACAACCATGTCTAACCATTGATGTGGACAATGGATAAGCATCAATTATATTGAATCTCCATAAGATTTATCTAATATATGTTAGTTAGTAGAGAAAAATGCTACCATCTATAAGATGCATAATCTGAAGATCAATGCAAAAAGTTATTTTTTCTAACATTTTCATCTCAATTTCACGTATAAGTAGGTTATTAGCTACAATGCATGTAGATCTAATATCCACTAGGTTAAGATTATCAACATATACAGAGATGATCACAAAATCAATTTTATCTCGTTTGATAAATAAATAAATAAGAGATTAGTGGATCACTTGTAAACTTATTTATAATTAAATAATCTCGGAGACATTGATATTACATACGTCCAGATTTTTTTAGACCATACAGGGCCTTATGTAATTTAATACCACAATATCGTCTTAGAGTAGGTACATTTGGAGTTCCTATTTCCAAATCAGGTAGAACTTTTATATAAATATTTGCATCAAGTGAACAATATAAATATGCAATTACGACATCCATGAGACACATTTCAAGGATGACATGAACTGCCATTCCTATAATATATCGGAATGTAATTGAATCTATGACTAAAAAATATATGGATTCATAATCAATGCCAAACCATTGGATAAATCCTTGAATAACAAGACAAGCTTTATAGCGGGTTAATTGACCTTTAGCATCTTATATCCCACAAGGCCAGAAGTAAGAGTATCCACAATTAGACCAAAGACTTTCCTCTTACACAAAGAAGCATATTCTTCCTTGATGGCAGTTTTTTATTTTAACCAATTAGAGCAACGCATCACTTCTTAAATGATTTGAGATATAAGATCTTTTTTCTCGTAAGAAAGAGCTTCTGCCATTATGAATACAAATGATTTATCTATTATAATAGATGGTCTATTCCAAAGGTCATTTGTAGCACAATATAGAACAAATAATTTTGTATTCAACTTGGTTTTATTCCTCCTAATTTCAAAATTTTCTATAGCATGAGGTGAAGGTATAATGTGCATAGACATATTGTCAATAATTGATGGTCTCGTAGGTTTAGTAGGAACTTCCATAGAAATAATACCACAATCACCACATGTTATAGCTTTCTTCTTTTGTAATTGCTTATCCGGTCTACAAGTCCTTTTAATTGTTGATGTTTTAACTTGAGGTATATTTGTTAGTCGTATTGTAATTTCAGCACGTCCACTTTAAGTCCCATTAATTGATATCTTAGTAATCCTAGGAGTATCATTGAAGCCATTAGGTGTTTCATTTGCAATCCATTTTAGACACATTCAACCAAAGATGTCCTAGGATCAAGATTCATTGTAAATATTTTTGATGCTCCAAATGCAAATAATATATTTTTTTATTGATTAAATACTCTTTAATAAAGAGATGGAAATACATTCTCTTCAAAACGGTAATTTTAAAAATAAGCATGTAATAATGTGCTAGTTGATGGATCAATTCTATGAATAATACTTGGTGAATCAAATCCAACATATATGCCTTCTTGTCAATGAGCTTCAATGGTACGCCGTTGAGATTCTGGTACTAGAAACCAAGTATGGCAACTAAATATTTGTAGGTGAGATATATTTGGAATACGACTTGAAATAAGCTCTTGTGATGTAATAATTTGAAGAAAAGAAAGATGGAGGCATACTAATGTTGCAACATGCAAAACTGCATGATCTCACATACATGCAAGTAAATTTGCATGAAGGAGTGGCTGAGTAATGAATTGTATAGGCTTTATAAATGACTCTGCAAGTCCATTTTGAGCATGTTCATATAGAATATAATATGTCAACTCAATCCATGTTGCAGTATAATGGTCTTTAAAGGACTTTGATGCAAATTCTTTTGTATTATCCATATGTAATGTTTTGATAGGATAATCAAGAAAATATGCTTGAAAATGAATGAGCATAGATATAAGATTAGTAAATACGATGTTTCAAGGTGATAATAATGAAACATGTGATTGTTTGCGTGATGCATCAATAAGGATAAAAGAATAATAATAAAATGGTCCACATATTGGATAAATAGGACTATAAATATCACTGTGCAATCTTTTAAGCATTGGTGGTAATTCTTGTGAGAGTTTCTAAATTGATGGCTAAATAATCATCTTACCCTGTATATATACACAACATAATTCTATAGAATTTACATCTGCAGGTCTTAAATTATGTCTAATTATACATGGAATTATCTTCCGAAATAATATAGATCGTAGATGTTCCAATTATCCATTCCAAAGAAAAATGTGACTCTTTGTTATAGATGATGCAAAATGAAATATAATAGGAGGCTAGATTGCAATCAGGTGTAAATCATTTGTCATAGCAAAGGCTTTTCCTATAGCTTTATGGTTCTATTCAAGGACCAAAACCTCTTGCCTATTTAAAATTATAATTGAGAGGTGATAACCATTGGTACGCACATCTCAGTAGCTGATTAAACTCCGAGGTGCTGAGGGTGCAAATCTTGCATGTTTATATTTTATGATAGAGCTTGTAGGAAATTTTACCATTGCTATTCCTTCTTCGAAATGAAATGCATTCAATCCAACCATAGTCATCAAATTTTTAATTTACCAAGTTGAAGATTTTTCAATAAAAAACTGTCTATTCTATAGGATAGTATGTGTTGTTGCAAAATCAATGAGCACATCATTTGATTCATCATTAGAGGTTTTGTCATTCATATAAGCTTCTAAATCATCAATACCAATTGAATTCATGGATGCATCTATAGTATAAAATTCACGAGTCTCAACTCAAAGTTTCTTATTTTCTTAGAACATTTTAATAAAGTCTTTTGAAGTATGGCATGCATGTGCCAAATGTCCGATCATTCCACATTTATGGTAAGAATGCATCTCTGATTTTTATTTTCTACTATAATTAGTTGTAGAATATTTATTCTTTCTATATGGGTAGAAATGGTCACAACCATGACTAATCTGGTGCTTATGAGCATATTTTCTATGTTTGTATAATTATTTCTTAGACTTTGAAATATTAAGTGTATGAGATTCTGGAACCATGGTTTCAATAGGATGAGCTTCTGCATTACGTGGAGATTACTGTGCATTATAATTACTTTCATAAGAAGTAGATACAACATGAGATCAGGATGACTTTGAAATTTCATATTCCTATATTGTTATGCAAGCATAACAAATGCGGGAGGAAATGTAGAGAGATTATTCTCAATCATTTCTTCTTTAGAGGTGCTTTGTCCACATAATCGTAGTTGTCAGATAATATAATATATTTCATGGTTGAAAGTATTTAAATTTAGAAAATCCAAGACAAGTTGTCATAATACGTGAAGTCTTGCTTGAGAATGCTCTGGGCACGTGACTGTGGAAGGTAGAATGGAAATTGTAACAAAAAAATCCTAAATATAATAGAATACTAATTAAATTCTAATTAGACTATAATAATATTAAGCAAGCTTTAATCAAATTCAAAAAAACCTCAAAAAAATTTCAAAGAAACATTAAGAAATCTTAAAGAAATATTAGAATGATCACAAATATCTCTCAAATACATCTCAATTCAATCTTAATTTAATTCTAGTTAAATCCTATTGGACTTGATTCAAACTTTAGGCCAAAATTAATTAAATCTTAAATCTTAATAAAATCCTAAATCCTAAACCAAACCCTAAACCAAACCCTAAATCCTAAATAAAATCCTTACCAAATTCTAAACCAAACCCTAAATCCTAAATCAAACCCTAAACCAAACTCTAAACCAAATCCTAATCAAATCCTAATCAAATCCTAACTCTAAATCAAACCCTAAATCAAAACCAAATCCTAAATGCCTAAATCAAATGCCTAACCAAATCCTAATCCAAATCCTAAATCCTAATCAACCCTAACCAAATCCTAATCCAAATCCTAAACCTTAAATCAAACCCTAACTAAATCTTAACCCTAAATCAAATCCTAATCAAATTCTAAACCAAAACCTAATCCTAAATCAAACCCTAATCAAACCCTAATCCAAATCCTAAATCCTAAAACAAATCCTAACCAAACTCTAAACCCTAAACCAATCCCTAATCAAATCCTAGTAATTCATATAACAAATTTAAACCTCAATAACTAATGAATAAACCGTTGATCTTAATTCAAATTTTTCACACTTATTAAAAAATAAGTTTAAAACAAAGACAAAAAAATTTGAAAAGGATCGAAATTACTAAATAGACAATAACCTCAAAAATGTGCTTGGGTATTGGCCGGCCTCTTTCTCCAACCTTTATGCCAATCTCCTAGAGCCAATATCTCTTCTTTTCACTGTTTGATTGATCTTAAAATTCTCATACACATAGAAAAACAAGTCTAATATCCTTTCACATAAATTTCATTCCAATCCAATTAGTAGATTGCAAAAAATCTTAAAAACCCTCACTAGACCTAAAATTCTACTTTCTAAGACCTTGACCCATTTAAACCTCAATAATCCTCAATTAAACCGTTAAATCGAGCTCAAATTCATAATACATATTAAACACAACTATAACCATAAACCCAAAAAATTTCACCTATAGATCTATTACAAAACTCTTAAAATCATCCAAAATATAAACCCTATTTTATTTCATAAAACCCAAGTCATCCAAAACAAACTTTGACTTTGCAAAGCTCTTACAAAGTCATAACAACTCCAAATTGCCCAAAACCAATGCTCATAGAAACCTTATCCAATCTGCTATCAAACTCTACTCTTTGATTTACAAAAGAACCTCGGAGTCGTCGTCGAGACTCGGTTTTGTGGCTCAGGATCTAATTTCGACCCTCCTTCACAACCGGCCTTCTCCGGGTATCAATATCTAGTTTTTCTAAGTAAATTTTTCTAGAATTTACTCTTAACTTTCTTCTAAAGATGCTCATATCATTTATTTTACCAATCTACTTTGTTTTGCCTTACTTATGGTGCTACAAAGTAAGTAGAAGTCACCTTTCTAAAAGGCAACATTGGTACCTTTTTGTTTTACTACCTTTTTGACTGTTAACTATATTTCTAAGATAATTTGTTCTAATACTTTGAACTAAGATCTCCTACATTACAATAATTTCCACACTCTTTCATCTCTTAGACGTGGTACATCATGACAATGTAAATATATCCAATCATGACATGCACGTAGAAAGAAAATGGTCTTTTGATGATCTAATCTAGATTTAAGATTCTCCCAAAGCTTGGCTGGATCTTCCATTTCTAAATATTGATGTTGTAATGCACGTACAAGATGTCCACGAAGGAGAAGAAGTGTTTTCCAATGGATAACAATAGGAATTGAAGTACTTATAGTAGAAGATTCTTCAAAAGGAATTGTATCAAATAGTTGTTTTGCAAATAAATTTACTTTTAGCCATTTTTATTCATAATATATATTTTTTTTTATCAGCACTCAATGGTGGAAATAGAAGAGCTTTAAAATGTTAGAATATAGTAGTGATAGTTGGAAACATAGTACATGCAATTGAAGATGTTAAAGCACTCATTATGAATAAATCTATGAATAAAAAAAAATAAAAAATAAAAAAATGCTAGTTTAAGTAGAAAAGGTTGAGTAAAATGTACCTTAGAATGTAAAGCCAAATAGAATAATAAAGTTAAAACTTGAAATCAAAAATGTTAAGAAAAAAATTTAGAATTTCTTTTTTCTTTTTTCTTTTTTCTTTCACAAAAATAAGAGTCTGCAGCAGATTACAACAAGGTGCATCAATCAATGGCAGTCAACAGTAATCAGTGACAATCGGTGGTAAATAGCGTCAGTTGGCGACAGTCAATGGCAATCAGTGGCAAACAACAACAATTGGTAGCAGTCAACAACAGTGAGCGGCAGTCAGCAGTAGTCGATGACAGCAACGATAGTAGTAGGACAATAGCAATAGTAGGAGTAGCAGCAAAAAAACAACAGCAATAGCAGCAGTAACAACAACAATAGTAGCAAAAATAATAGCAACAATAGCACAAGGAAAAAATAAATAAATAAAAATAAAGAAAAAACAAAAAAAATATATATATATATATATATATACACATAAGTTTTTAAGAACTAAGAACTAAGACTAGAGTATAAAAGCAATCATGCTAATAATATGTTGAGAATATTTTAGAGAAAGAAAGACAATAATATCTAGAAGTAATATGCATATATATGTAAATACACACACACACAAAGTAAGTTTATTGATAAGATTAGATCCTTTATACAAAGAGAAGGAGAGAAGATAAACAGTGTTTCTCCACTATATTCCAAACATTATAGCTACAATAAATAGTGTAGACTATAGTAAATAACATGGAGAGCACCAACTACATCTAATGCTCTAAACAGAATGATCAGAAGTAAATCTACAAGAATAGTTATTTCATTCATTTTCATAGTTTCTCCATAGGAAAAAAATTTTAAAAAATTTTAAAAAATGGACATGTTTATTTAAGTGGAATTTTAAATAGACCCATTTTTTACTAAAACAATCCACCTATCATAACTATCATGAAAAATAAATAAATAAATAAATATATCTAGATTCATTTCTATATTATTGGATTTGCAACCAATGAAAATCAACCACATTCATTAAGATTATTATATTCTTCATTAAAGGTGGGTCAATTTAGTAAAAGCATGGGTCTATTTAACATTCTGTAATTTTATTCTCATTTTTTTCTAATTATGGCTAATAAGTCATAATAGAAGTGAGTTCTAGAGATAAATAATTTTCTTTATTATGTAAGGGATTATAAGTGAGGTTTTATAAAACTTCTTATATCACAATAGATTTGTATTAATAATGTGCATTAGTTTTTAATTTTTTATTTATCAAAATAATATTTTAATAAATATATGCATTTTGTTACTCTTTTTTATCCTCAAAAATATGGATATTCAATAGTAGACATATGATTTAAGATTTCTTTTTTTTAAATTATTCATTAATTGGTTGTAACTTTTAAAACACATGTCTTAGATTTTAAAAGTCTATTTATAATCAATATATATAATTTTAAACATCATAAATAATATATAATATAATAATTGATGTTTACAAGATTGTATTTATAAATTTACTAAATTTAGTGTTTGAAATATATATATATATATATATATATATATATTATAACATGTAAGAGGATGTGTCTTTCTATTTCTGCCAATAGGATGTGAGGGCTTTAAGCAAATGTTTATTTAAGGCAAAAATGTTTGTATTCTTAGTATAAACTCTTGAAATGTAGTTTCTATTTATTCATTTAAATAATTAATTATTATTATAATATTAGTGCTACAAGAATATCTTAGAGAAAATTGTTACAAGCCAGCAAAGCAAATTTTAGCATTGAGAAAACTGATGAAAAATAATTACTAACTTCTAAGTGGTGTCTTCAAATTGTGACAAAGTTTTTAAATGTACATAATATGAAAACACTGTAGTTTTGAAAAGTGTAATAATTGTGCAAAGTGTGGTGGAAATAAGTTTCAAAGGGTGTTTTTTGAAAGTGGTATTATAATCTTTATAAGACCAATATGAAAATGCAAACTTTGACAACTAGGCTCGTGATGAAATAGTCTTCCTACACAATTATTTATGAAAATACTTTTTTTTGTTAGCTTCAAGTAAGCAACTAGCAAAATAGTTGATTCAATCATACAACACATTTACAAAAACTCAACAAAAAAAATGTTCTACATATATTGCCAATAGCGAAAACTCTATGATTGGTACTGTTTGCACAGTCCTATCCTAACAGCAACGAAACAGTCTCCATGATCACAACCCAACTCACAGACCCTACAATCTATCTAACATTCGGTTGAAAACACCAAACCTTCAACACGGAATCACCTAAATAAACTAAACCACATGCACTTCATCCACACAGAAACTCCAAGACAAGATCGTGTTTAAACGGGGCAACATGATTCAACTCAAAACTTGCCAAAAATAAAGAGGCTACTTACAATTACTCAATTGATTCCCATGCTTTTTCTTCAACAGCCTATCTGCAATAGTTCGAGTGATGGTCAAAAAAAGAATAACGTGCTTCGGCGACAAGGAATGTACACATAACAAGCTGCAAATGAGCTGGTCGGTCTGTGTGGATCTGTGTCTGTAAAAATGTGTCAGTGTGTGTGTGTGTGTGTGTTGTTGATGAGATTACATTCCACTGACACATCGCTGGCCGATCACCGTAAACATCCAACACGGTTGCTGCTGCTGCGGCGCTCACTCCTCCACCTCGACGTCGTCCAAGTCCGCTGGGTCGATGCGGGGCTTACCCATGCTGAAGTTCAGCACCCTACAGTCCAAGTTGTATTTGAGCTCCCCCGCTAGCAGCAGCTTTCGGATGTAGTGCTCCAGGTCGGACCCGATCAGCCGCAGCGTGTACTCCGTCAAATCTGCACCCTGCGGTTGAAATGCGCAACTGGGTTATGAGCTTTTTTTTCTTCTTAAGTCAAGGGGAGCTACGTGCGTGGTTTGTGTTCAGCAGAGTTCATGCGTTGTTTTGCAGCGCGTGTTCGTCTCGTGGATTCTGTGGCTGGGAACCTACAGACTTGTGACGACAGTGGGGTGAATCCGTAATTCTTACGAGCCATGTCGACTAGGACGTAAAATTTCTGAGGACATTGGATGCAGACTTGTCCGTTGATGTTCTCTCGAAGTGAAGAACAAATGCTTCCGAATAACCCCTAGCAAGAGCGTTTTGGCTGAACCTTCAGAAAGGCTATTCGCATTCCTTAGTTGGTGGTTCATTCAAGGTCTCAACGCTAGGAATTGAAACATTGGGTTAAGCAAGCAACTTATTGTTCACAAGCTTAACTGAGGAAATCTTGCGACTAGTGGGGGAGCATGATTTCAAGCGATTCGTTCAACGCTTGAACGTCATTCACTTTCTGAATCGAAAAACCGCTACGGCGGTTTCTGAATTCTACTGCTTCGTCACTCCAATGCTACAACGCGGAATTCTGCAGCGCTAATCTTTCCAGTTAATGGCTTTCGCAATTCATGCTTCTAGTGGGTGCTTGGAACTCATCAACGAGGTGGGATTCAAAGGACTTACTGCGTAGGTTTCGACGAGTTCCCTGTATTTGTCATACACTTTCTCCACCATCTCCTCAGGCCACTCGAATTCATTATCCGGGTCGAGCATCAATGTAAGCTTATCCAGCTGGGACTGGTCCATAACTTGCGTCTCGGGATCAACATACCCAGCATAAATTCGCACATGACGAGTCGTGCAGCTCAACCACTGCCCACCACTCTCCCTGGATAGACCCTTCGCTTGAGTGACCTCCTTCACCTCCTCCGCTCGGACTGTCACCGGACCCGGCCTGCTACACCTTCTCTGAGACCACCGCTGCGATGGCATTTCCACTGGTTGACCCAAAAAGGTGACATTAGTTGTGAGAAAAGCGGAGGACACTGAAGGAATTGAGCACGCTAAGACCGCATGGACCTTGCACGCACGCGTGAGAGACATGGAGGTAGACGCCATCTTGGCTATGGCGACAATCTGAGATTCGGTGAGGGAATTCGCTCGTGAAAGAGAATAGACGCCCCGCACAATACATTTGCGGATTCATCCGCACGGCCTCCTCGGTTTGGATGCGAAAATGTGAACCGAAAGAAGCATTCATCCCTATCCCTTGTAGTCTTTCTCGTGCATTCAATCTTGTGGCCCAAGAACGTCAACTCATTCGCCGAACAAGAGGCCGACCGACGTCGTCTGGGAAGAGGTTTTCCATCCAGAGGGGTTCAAAAGTAAGGCCAACAGGACGCTTTGGTGATTGCTGCTGTTGGGGTGAGGTGAAGGAATTTGCCGAGATGATTGTAAGTTTTAACTAAGCAAGACGTTGCGCGTCATGATCGATGTAAACTTAAGTCGCAAATTGACTTGTGAGGGCAATTTGCATTTGGGGCAATCAGGATCCCTTGGAGCTTCTCAAGTTCGAAGATCGAAGGAAGGGGACGAACACGATCCTGAGACCAGGCGAACTTCAGAATGATAGTACGACAGACACAGAGGAAGCGTGTCAATGATCTATACAGCAAGAGGTAAGGCCAAAAAGGCTTGATCCGCTCCAACAATATGCGACATGAGAACGAGGGGAGAGATTGCGGAAACGATGAAGCGGGTGCGAAGTGCGTTACTCAAGTTAACTTTCTGAAGCAAGATCATCTACAGCACTCCTGGGTACTTGTTGCAGCTGCAAATACTGGAGTCGAAAAAACTAAAAATATCATATTTTCTCGCAGACAGGATTTGACATTCATCTAAAATACAAAAGCGTGAACAGACTTCCAAAGACTATCCATAGAGAGATGCCACTCGCCAATCGCTCGAATAGATGATACGGGCGACCACCAATCGACGAATATCAGTTTGGACTAAGCTTTTGATCACACTAATAAACAGACATCTACTGCAAGAAAGACCATCGAAGTGACGAAGAGAAAATCGACAGAGGAAAAAAAACAACATAACAAAATAAAGCGAAAACAAAAACAAAATGCTTGTAAAGTTAAATAATAGACATAGACATCATTTACATTTTTAACAGTGGTTCATCCATACAGTACCAGGAGAATCGGCTTTCCTTCCACCAGTTTCTATTGCTGTTCTACTGGGCTTGAGTAGGAAATGTAAAACCCATAACCTATATTAATGACTAAAAATGCACTGAGTAAATTTACATGCTAGATCATCTGACAAGAACCTGGGAAAAAGATGCATATAATTCAGAAAGGGCAGAAGAAAAAAAGAGAAAATTGTTCTACAGCTCTTTCTTAGTTTCAATTTCGTCTGACTGGGAAACTGCAACAGTTTTGGGCTCGGACGGTATCAAACCGATCCAGAGAACAGGGATTAAAGCAAAGAAAGCTTGAATGAAAATGCCAAGGGGTAACCCTGAGAAATCATTACCAGAGATACGGAGAGAGGAAGCGAGAACAACGCCCAGGTAGCCATTTGTCAGACTAGCAAGGCACTGAGCAGACATGAAGAAAGCGAAAAGCGAGGCTTCACTGCCAGGAGGGCAGAGCTTTGCCAACAGAACCATGAAGGGGAGAATCTTAAACTGACCAATAGCTTCCACAAACGCTGATGCTCCCAACACGAACCACTTGTCTGGAATGCCAAACTCCAAGTTGATCCGGTTCACCAGCAGAATGTCCGTTAGCATGCACAGCGAGAGCAGGATCTGGACAGTTGCAAACATGCGCCGGATAGGCACATCCTTGAGGCACTTGTTGTACAACATGCTCCCGAAGAGCAGCCCCACTTGGCCGATCACCCTTGCCAGCCCAATCACCGACGCGCCCAAGCGCAGGTACTGCGTTTGATAGTAGAATAAAGCGCTTCCAAGTCCCGGGATTACTGCATACGACGAGAGAAACCATAGGAGAGGCTTGAATATCTCAGGCTTCTGAAGTGATTCTTTCAGTTTAGTGATTTGCTCCCGCATGGCTGCGCCTGCATCTTTCTGCCTTTCGTGAGATTTCTGTTCTGGGTTATCGTCTGTGTCCTTTTTGATGGGCCCCAAAGCGAAAGAGTGCTCACTCACAGTGAGAGCTAGAAGCAGCTGCGTAGCTATAAGGATTATGAATATGGCGAGCATCACTTGCGGAGGCACAACTTTCATCGCGTACCCGGCTGTTAAGTTTCCGACTACACCTCCCGAGGCCAAGGCTAGCCAGGCGAAGGACTGTAACTCACCTGCAGGCAATGGAAATGTGCATTTAGGATAAAATTCACGCCCACTCGTTTGGGTGAATTCAAGAATAAAGTGCATCCTAGCCTCTTGAGAAAAAATAGAGTTACAAAAGCGAACACAAATGTTTGCTCCAGTTATACAATAAGTACTTTGATAAAAACAAAAACAAAAACAAAAAGCACTAAATAAACGAAAAAGCAATTAACTAGTTATGACAATGCGGTGAGTTGAATTTTCCATACCTTGCTGTGCACCTACCTTGTTCTTTCCAGCTTCAGCAATCATGGCATCATTCACCACCTCCGAAATTGCACCTCCTAAGTTCGTGATAGTTAGGAAGGCCGTTAACATAGCAGCCGATGAAGAAGCCCCAGAGTGCACAACTATGGCAGTCCAAGCGAACAACTGAAGTGCTCCTGGAAGCAGAGCAAGGCAAAGAATCAGGTGACCATAATTTATTCGTCATTCAGACGAAAATCTTCGGCTACATTTGACGTTTCAAGCATGGTCCCCAAGAACAACATCAGTTTAAGAGAACAATCACGCTTGTCAAGATCAATAACAATTTTAAATGAATAGTGAGGCAGAATCTTACCTGCAATAATTAAGTATGGCACACGATGTGCACCTTTGATGTAGACAGAGTCGGAGATAATCCCATAGACTGGTTTTGCAACCATGGGTAAAGTAGCTGTTGACATCAGGAATTGCATCTGGCCAGGATCAACCTGCAAATCCACCCATTTCAACTCCCACAAACTCTTTATGAACGAGAATTACCTATGAGACGTTCCTAAGACAAAACACGGAACACTTCTCTACATTTTTTAAACATTGCGCTCACAGCAGCTTCATTCTTATTGCAGTGCATTCATTGCACTGCAGTCTCATTTGCAAAACCCTATTACACTACTGGATTCTTGAGAGCAGCTGAGAGATCCTTGAAGGTGGCAGAGGCAGAACGAACATATTCTGGAGTGGCACGGCTACCTTTAGAGTGTCCTTGTACCAGTAGCTCATGGCTGTCCAAGGGAAACACCTCAATCCCTGCGTGAAATAGCCCAGCAACACCAGGAGCAGAAAGGAGGTTCCATAGGTGCCGTTCAGACGTGTGATGATCGACATGTCTTCAAAGCTTGATCCACTCTCCAGCACTTCACTTCAGCCTGCACGAGAACAGAGAACAAATCACTATGACAGGAAAAAAAGGAAAATGCATGACAAACCCTTCCTCTTCACAATGCGGGTCGTTAACGCGAACTGTGACATTGGTCCCAATTAAGATATGGTTTGCAATTCAGCCCTACAGCCCTGCAAACCGTGGGAAGCATTGTGCCCTTCTTATAATTTCATCTCAAGAAGTTAAGGCGCAGACCGGATGAGGGAAATGTACAGATTAGTTGAATGACAGCCCTGGATGAATAGGGAGAGTGCTGATTAGAATTAGATGCTACTTGTCGTAATTCCTTCCGCTCGCTTCCCTCCCCACAGACTAACACACTGCAGTGCCACACACTAGAATGAAGACAAACAAGCTGAAGCGAGAGTCGATCAAATCTCTTAACACTATTTGCATGCCAAATCACGTGGCAAACCAACAAGAAATCTCCCAAAGATGCGAATCATCCGCTATTAAGTTCAATTTCATCAGTACCCTGCTTGGTGAGGTTGCAAACCCAGCTATACCTCCCAACAATCCTTGAAATTTGATGGTGCCGGCGATAGCGAGCTAGCAAGTCGACCTCCTCACGAAGCCTTGTACTGATCGGCTTCCCATGGATCACACCATCACCCTCAATTCCTTCCAAATTAAAAACTTCTTCAATTCAAAATAAGATTTACCCAACTCGAATCTCGCGTTGAAATACAAACTCCACCTCACTCTTTTTTCCTCACACTATATATCCTAGCGGCCAGGACTCAGTCCCGTCCGAACCCACCTAACAAAACTGGAGAGTGAGAGATTGAACGAGTCCAGACCCGGACACCTTCACTTGGGACCAACAAAAAGGGCCCAACTCTGTCGCGACAGCGACAACCGTCCCCGGTCCTCGCCGTCCTAGTCTGGAACGCGTCTATGAGGTCACGGCGAAGCGGGGCATTCGTGGCATACCCGCATCGATTTCTGAGGCCTCGCGTCGGCGTCTCCAAGTCCCCCGGGTCTCGCACGATCACACACTCTCTCACCCCGTGAGAACAGGCTCTGTGCCCCCATGCACAAAGGTCTTGGCCATGGATCCAGCGCTTGATTCGGAATCCGCCACGAATTCGCAATCGTCATGGCTTGCTTGTCTTCCTCGAAACGCACCCTCCACTCCCAAAACCTACAACCGAAAATTATCCTGCCACATAAACGGGGTCATTCATGTCGACATGGTCTAGATTGTTTTATGGGTAACCCCATTCTTCAATTTCGCACCAAACCCATCATATCCTTTTCTACTTCATCCTCCGTTTCGGATCATGTGCGCGGCGATTGTTTGCGACGAATTCAACCTTCATCGGGGCGGTGTGTTGGATTCGCCGTGGTGGCGCTTTTCACTTCCTGTCGCCTCCAGTGGCCTCCGGTTGCGTAGTTCACAAGGCGGTTGAGTAATAAAAATTTCAAGTAAGATCACTACACTATTTCTATTATACATATATATAGAGAGAGAGGACAATAAATAAATAAATAATAAAAAAAAAAAAGCTGAAGTTGTTGCAAGATTTCTATACATGAAAGTTAGAGGATGGGCAATTGATTCTAAGTTGGGATGTGGGTTTCTGTGCCATGCCAAAACTTGGTCTTCATACATTGGTTTAGCTTTTTGCAAGGAATCTCAACATTATAATTGTTATGTGTATGGATGGATATATATTGATTTTTGGTTTTTCTTTCTTTCATTGTTGTTTTTTTTGAGCTGAATTGGATAAATATTATTAATAGAAACCAAAGAATAAAAGGGAGGATTCTTGTTTAATGTGAGTCAATATCATGGGTGGTCAAAGAAGCTATTGCAAGTCCCTATGAAGTTGTAATTTTTGGTTTGTACAATTATTTTATTTACCTTGTCCAAATGTTGATGTTGGAAAGTCAATGTTGATGTTTATTGTAACCTTATCTCCTTGGAATCCAAACTAATGAGAGTGATTGTTTTGATGATTTTGAGTTTATCTTTTCTTGTTTGATATTTAGTGTTTTTTGTTTGAGAAATTTCACAATATGATCCCATTTTGATTTGGAATTTATAATATGACCATATATCGTGGATATTCACAATATGACCATGTTTCATTGTCCACACCCTCTATGTCTTCATGCTGCAATGCTCACAGTGGGAGCCTTGATATAGCAAGAGATTATTATCTTTAAGCTTTAATAATCTCTTGCTATATCAATATAAATAGTTATTAAAGTTTTTGATTCTAAACTATACAATTCAATCTTTTTACAAATTACTTTACATGCGCTTTTATGTATGTCATCCTATTGTGCCTTTTTTATCCACATGTTTTGCATGTAAGCGCTTCTACAATTACTTGCATCATGTTGTCTTGTTGCTTCTTCTTAGGTCTCTTATACAATTATTTAATAACCGGCAATGCAATGTTATCATAGTATAGATTCTCTAGGATCATTGAATGATAAGATTGAGCATATTGTGTGCCATAATTGATAATTGAGTAGAATAAAGAGACTAACAAAATTGGTGGAACTTTGACCTTAAATGCAAATGCAATAGCACAGCAACAATGTGACAATAAGTATTGGTACATGCTACAATCACAACTTCTCTTCTTAGTACCACTTGACATCAAAGTGACAATGTACTTCTTGTATGAAGAAGTTGATATAATAATTTTGTTTAAGGTTGTCTATGGTATTACATTGTAATTATGTGAAGTCTAATTCTTCATTGAAGCATTTCATGGTGGTATTAAAGACATAGACCACTTAGTAGCAACTATGGGATGTTTATAAAACTTTTCTATTTGATGGTTGTATATTGCTTTGATCATCTCAATCACAAATTTCTCATGTATTTTCTTTATGATTGAATTTGCTATTTCCATGAAATGAAAGGTAATGTGTCCAAATTACACACCAACAACTACATATATAGTCCATTGTTTATGAGAGATATTATCAATATACCTACCCATATTTGCACTCATCTCTTCTACCTTCTTCAACTCTTTTTTGGAAAAAAAATAATAGATTTTATATCAGTACATGTCCAAAAAGCTTTCTTCTGCTCAATTCTAAACTTTTAATCAATATTTTTAGCAATGTGAAAGTAATACCAATAGTTTTAGATAAAAGGGAGTACTTTGGCATAAGCTTCAATTAAATCCTTTTCTAGGTCGTTGATAATGGTTATATTTGATAAATTCACTTCAAAAATTGTTTCTTCTAGTTATTAAAGTTACCAACGTCTTAGCTAAGAACATTAACGTATCCTTCAAATCCATCTCCACCTCTAAAATCAATTAGAAGATGAAGCAATTTTTGATGAAAGTAGCATCAACGATGATAAATATTCTTAGATATATAAAAACATGGCATGTAGTTCCTTTACAAATAAATAGTCTTTCAAAGCAATGTATTCTATCTCCATTTTTCCATAAAAAGTCTCCATCTTTTTGAAAAAAGAAATAGTCTTGATATTAAATTCTTTTAATCTTTCAATAAAGTTTTGTGAAATTTGGAATAATTTACTCTAAGCATGTGTATATTCTTATAACATTGTTTCTTTCTTCTTATTTGTAGTGTTATAGACAACTTCAATGTTGTAGGTCAACTTGAATTACAATTTAATGACTTTCAATGTCAATTTTTGATTGATTATTAGTGGTCTTTTTTAAAGTTTTTCAACCATCCATTTGTAATCAACTTCTAAATCCTTTGTTTTTGCCAAAGTTCTTTGCAAGTATGATCCAAGTTCAACCAAGTCACTTTTTATGTCCTTTGTTTTCTTATTGAAGATTACATGGACATAGTATGGGCATTCTAAATTTCTAAATCTACGGCAATTAAGAACCATTCTTTTGATGTTGCAAGTCTTTATGTAGAAATTATAGTTGTTCAAATCAACATAGGCTTGAGTTGCTTGTTTGACATTTTCAAAAGAAGGGCATATTGTTCCTACCAAAAGTTATAGAAGTCAATGACTTATAGCATCCTAAGATTAAATAGGGGGCATAATGATAATGTTGATGACAACAATCTCTAGCAAGTTTCTACAAGTAGAGTTTTGTCAACGCTTGTATAAGCAAAAAGATTGCAATCTTGCAAAATACTCCTATTCTTTGTAGAAAAGAAAGAAGAAACTTATATTTGTATGAAAAAACAATAATGATAATGATTTTAAAGTTTTTTTTATTGCTAAAGCTTGAAGATAATGATTTCTTGCCATCTTTTAGCTCTTGCTGCTAATAATGTGGTATAGAGACAGAGAGGTATGAACATAGGCTCTTGCTACATATAGCATGGCATGGAGCGTTATTATGTTGTAACATGAATATATGATGAAAGATAAAAATTTGGATTTTATTATAGAAGTGAAATGATATAATAACAATATATGGCTAAAAAGTATGGAGGTAATAAAATAATTTAGTGATAATATTTTCTTTTTGTAAAAAAAACTTCTACTTTATTTATAAGACCATAAATAAAGTAAAACAAAGTAGATTAAGAAAATAAATAATATAAGGATCTTTAAAAAGGATTTAATAATAGTTTTTAGAAAAAAATTACCTTAAGATATCAAGAATTGATACCTAAAGAGAACCAATTGTGAACCAAGGTCAAAATTACATCCTAAGGCAAAAAACTTTATACCTACAATAATTCTAGGGTTTTTTTTGGTTGGAGATTGAGATGTGAGAACAAAATTAAAGAAAATTGTTATAAACTTGATTTTAAGTGATTTAGATACATATTAAGTTTCTAAGAGCATTTCAAAGTAAAAAGTATATTCAAAGGTTTGATATTTTGAGAAATAAAAAGAGGCTTATATATTTAAAGAATTTTTAAGTATTGTAGCAAAATTTAGATGTAAAATTTTTCCAATTTTTTTTATTGTACTTTTTAAAAATATTTTCTGTAAAGTTGAGATCAATCTAATGGTTAGATTGAAGAATATGAGAATTTTATACTTGTTATTTGTAAATGGATTAAAATGTAGATGAAATTTTAGTTGAAATCAATGGTTCAATTAGTAGCTATTAGAATTTTTAAACAACTATAAGAATTTATTAGTATTACTTAGAATTTACTTGGATTTATTTAGAGCTTCATTAGAATTATTCTAACATTTGATTAGGATTTTTTAAGGATTTATTAGAGTTGATTATGATTTATTATGATTTATCTAGGATTTATCAAAGTTTATTTAGGATCTTTTTAGGATTTTTCAGAATTATTTTAGGATTTTTTAAATAGTATTTTAGAATTTGATTAGGTTATTAAGGATTTATTTAATTTAATTTTTTTTATTTTAAAGGATTTTTTTAGTTAATTTATAAATATATGTATATATATTCATATATATTTTTATAATTTCTTAACTTTTTTAGATTTGATTAGATTTTGATTAGAATTATTAAGGATTAATTGAAGTCTATTTAAAATTCTATTAGACTTGTTAGCACCTTGTTGTTGTAATTTCCTATTTATCTTCTATAGCTAGGTACCCAATGCATTTTCAACTATAAATTCACATAATATGATAGTGTGCAAACAATAAAATAGGATCATATTATAAATTTTGGATTAAAATAAGATCCTTTTGATAAATTTTTCATTTTTTGTTTGTTTGTTTGTTTGTTTTTTTGTTTTTTTTATGTCTTTAAAAGATGCCAAATTATTTGTATATAATATACTAACACATATGCACTACTCATTAAAAAAAGAATCTAAAATAATAGTCAGATTATCTTATGAATTTTTTAATGTTGAATTATTACTAAATCTATTAAAATATGTCAATCAATTTTTGCACCATCTACAAATACAAGAAGAAAGAATTAGATGTAGCATTGTCTTGTAAAATACATATGATATTAAAGAGTATATATCTTATAACTTAATTTTTAAAATTATAATTAATTTTTTTAAGAATTGAATAATTATGTTTTCATTCAAGGATTCTTATTAATTTTAATACAGTCATAACCCTTAAATCACATCTACACAACTTCAATCTATTTTTATTGTTTTATAATTACTTTTAATAAGAAAATATTTTTAAATGTTATCTTCTATATTCTATGTGATAAAACTATGTTTAAACATATTATGTCACATATCTAAATTTATCTAAAAATAGCAGTAAATCTAGACTCATATAAAATACATATAATCAAACAATGTTGTAGTATACAAACCAAGACTAATGATAGATATTTTGTTATTGATTTGAATCTTAGATTAAATCTTTCTAATGGATTCTAATATATATAATTTTTTTGGTATTATTATGTAGACAATATGAGAATAATCATATTTTAAATGAAAGTGATAGATAATTATTATTTTATCAGGCTAAGAAAAAAATTCTAAAATAAATTTATTAGTAGTTATAAAAAATAGCCATTATTGATTTTGATTTTGAATTTTTCATATAATTTGATTATTCTTATGAATGGTTGGTCATTAATTTGAATAGATGTTGTTAGTAAAATAATAATAATAATAATAATAATTATATAATTTTAAAAAATTCTAATATATCTCTCTTGAGCGCTTCAAAATATCATAGTTGCAACAATATACAAAAAAATCTATTTTTCTTGTAAATCACCTTAAATTCAAAACTTCTTCTGTTTCATTTTTTTATAGGTAATATATTTTAACTAGAATTAATAGCAACTACTTCTATCCAAATGTATTGCTTGTCTTATAAGATATAAATACAAAAATATGGTAATGTTTTTTAATTTTTAATTTTTTAAATTGTAGGTGATATCTGATTAAATTAATCTTTATAATGATAATTATTGTTTATTATTAAGAAAAACTATATATTTAACTTATCATAAAATAAATTGGTTGTAATAGTACAACATGTACATTTGAAGTCTTACAATAATAAATAAAATCTTGAAAATTTTACAATATCAAGTTGTATTTAATGAAAATAATTAAGAAAAAAATAGTAGTTATTAAAAAGACAATATGTAATTGTAATTGTAAAAGAGTTTTGCTAGCAGAAAGAAAGTTTTGACATTTTTCTAATGATGATTGAAGATAAAAACTAAAAAATAAAATAAATAAACACAAAAACACAAAAATACAAAAACAAAAAGACTACTTTAATACTTTATTTAATTTTTTCTTGACATAAATTATTTTAATATAATTTTATCTTTATCTTTGGTATTTTATGAAATATCCTATAAAACCTTATGTGCTTGGATTTCGATTAAATTATAATATTAATTTAAAGTCGACAATTTTGATAGATGTTGAAGATAATATCTTGAATTTTGGTTTTATAGATTAATCTTTATACAAATTATAACTATTTTTAGATATTTTACAACATAGAATACAAATTATGAAAAAGATATGATTTTAAAAACTTAAAAATAATTAAATTTAAATGATGGCATAAACCAATTTACAATTCTTAGAATTAGTGTAAAAATATTTATAAAATAAAGTTTTTTAACAAACATATATATATAAATATATATAGTTTTTATTATAAACTTTATAATCAATCTAGCATGCTAAATGGTTTTAAAAGATGAAAATAGGAGAAAGTCTGTCATCTTGACTAATTTTTTATAATGTAGGACCTAATTTAGAAAAATAAATAGATTTACAAAAAAAAATTGCTTTACATTTTAATACTACTCAAGATAATTTTTTGGATCAGTTTAATTTATAAACTTTAAATTTCTCTTTGATACACAATATACTTATATTATTTATAATACACATTATTCCCATCTTGGCACATAATTCTATATTCTCAAATATTAAAAATATGTGAGAATTATATTTTTATATTTTTACTAAATATTAAATTAAATTGAAACATTATCATATTAAAAGAAAACCATATTAGATATTTTTTTTCAAATCACACTGATTTGTAAATATTCAAAATTTATTTTAAAAAATTACGAGTTCAATGGACATAACATTATATTTATGTTGTCTATAATTAATTTTCATTACAATTTTGTGATTATCTTTTATTTTGATGCATCTAAAATAATAAATATATTGATAAAGTTTTTCTTTATACGTATATTTACAAAAGAGAAACACACATGCCTTAAATACTTTCAAAGTGTCTTATTAGATGTAGTATGTATCCAAAATAATTTCTATATTCACTGCACGCTTCAAAAGATATCCACAATTTTAATTTCAATTAACATAGTTTGACGCTTCTCAGAAAAGATATTATTTATCTAACATATTTCTACCTAGTGTAATTAACTTCTATTTATTTCTTTTACTTACTTGGTATACATATTTTTTAATAGATGTAATTTCTAAATTTCTTTAAAAATATAACTTTAATTGTTTTTGTATTTAATGATGGTGCTAATAGAAGTTTTATTTAAAGAGATAGTTGTTACATCAATAATAAAAAGATATTTATCTTATGAAACTTGCAAAAATTCTTCCTTTTTACAAAAAAACATGTGTTTTAGTTTAAAATAAAATTGGAATTTTAATAGATTAACTAAGAAAGTTATTAAAACAATAATAAATATCTAGTATATACATAAACTGTTGTATTTTAATGATAGCAAGTCCAAAATGACATGGATAGTTAAAAATTAAAATATTTTTAGACCATTATGCTATTGTAGCCAAATATAATTATTTTTTATTATTAGTGCTTCATAGATATCTTTTATAAAGATTAAAAGTTGGCTATCATTGACATTGTATTTTTTGATTAAACTTATTGCACCAAATGATACCTTTGGTGCATAATTAATTTCACACTTAAAGTAAAGAAAAAATTACAAGTTGTATTATGGTAGAAAAGAAATTAAATTATTTTAGCATAAAATATAGAGAGGATTTGTTTAATGATCTAATACCATAACAAGATGATGGAGCACAAAAAGTTAATTTTTACTACTACTTTGCACTGGATTTTTATTTTATTTATTTATTTTGATATGCATACTATATGAATGGATAATTTATATAATTTTTATCCTAAATTTTTAGTTTCATCACTTCTTTGGAAAATATAAAATAATATTATAAATCTCTTTTAAAAAATATAAAAAACTTCTTGCCAACTTAGAGTTTTCTTAAATTATAGAAGTTGGATATTGTAAAAATATAAATAAAAATAATTTTATTTTGAGTTTTTTTTAGAGTATAAAATAAAATAAAATAAAATATTATAAAAATTAGACTTTTAAAGCAAAACATTCAGAATTAATTGTCGCATTTCACAACAAACATGATTTCTTAGTTTTATATTTCAAGAATGACACAATCTAATAGAGGATTATTTATTAGTTTTTGCAAAAAAAAATATATTTCTTGATAGGTGTAGTATTATTAATTTATATATTGAATACTGGCAATAAAATTATAAAATCAATCAAATAGATTGCAAATATTATTTTGGAATTTTGGAATTTTATTAATTTTTATAAAATTGTATCATGTTTATAATATGTGGACCAAAGTTTTTTTGAAATTTTTTTTTGCCGTGTAATTTTTTCTAAAAGATTTTAAAAAATTAACAACTATTAAAAATATTTATTTTTTATTTTTTATTAAACAATATCTATATAAATTTAACTTAGAATATTTGAGTTTAATAACTTCGAAACCAAAATTTAATAATAAATTATACTTGGTTTATAAATCTTCAAAACTTAAATCCAATGCTATAAAATTTATGAAGGATGATAAAATTTAGTTTATTTGTGAGTGTAATTATATTTTTATAATAATTTTTAAGAAAAAAGAGTCTCTTAGAGTAGTGCAATTGTTGAAGAATGTTTTGATATACGTATATGTCTTTATAGCTAGTTTTTTTTAACTTTAGTTGTGATTGTTCATAAATTTGCAACATCAAAAATATTATTTTTTAATTTTAGTTCTAAAATTTTTAATTTTAATTTTAATTTTTGGTAGTTTTCTGATCGTTTTGATAAAAATAAAATATTAACTCAAAAAATAGAATTTAAAAAAAATTAATATTACAAAGAGATATAATTGAAAAAGGTAATTTTTAACTTCTAAATTAATTTAATACTTTTTTTAAAAAAGAAACAATATACTCTTTTTAAGAAAAATCAAAACCTATTATTATGCTTGTTAGCCTTATCAAAGTTTATAAAGAAAAATTTCAAATATACTTGTCAAAAAACAATATAATCATGTGCATCAAAGAAATTAGAAAGAAGACTATAATCAAATACATTAAGAAATTAGAAAAATACTAGAATGCATATTTTTATATATAAAAAAAACAGTGCAGAGTATTACATTAATGAAGAAATCGATGTTGGCGCTGAAAGATTGCAGCAATTACCAAAATACCGTTCCTCACACTGAAGCATGTTGTGAAGGTTTTTTGTATGATTAACAGACTGCAATATTTTGAGGGAACAGGATGAACATATCATACATACAGCTAGTTCTGAGCTGATCCTGGACACATTCAATTTATTTTTAGCCTAAGGAAGCAGTTTGCAAGGAAGAGAGTCGAAATTCACTTCAAACTCCACCGTAAGGCAAAGATTCTTTTACCTAACTTGCGGTGCACCCAACTTGCGGTGCTTGCCAAGTCTTCTCTGATACATTCTGTGCTTCCTCTTTAGACAAAACCATGACCGCAGCCACCTGAGATCTTACAAACACTTACAATCTTCTTACGAGACTTGTATCTAAGAAGGGACGGTGTGATAGGATAAGTGGGCAAAACATGATAAGCCCTCCGAATGCACTGCTCTTTTGCTAGTCCAGGTTCACACTCGGTGGTGATAAATGAGCAAAAACTGGCACTCGAGGATGCATGCGTAGAGCAGTGTCAGGGGCTCACATGTTGACTGTTTCCGTTATTGTGTACCACCTTCTCTAAATGGTACAAGGGAGCCCCAAACCATGCTAATTATACATACCTATATGTACCGTCTTGCCGAGGAGAATGCATAAAAAAAATAAAAAAGTAAGGTTGCATTAGTGGAATGCGTTTTTCATTTCACTGACCAAGGAGATCTTGTAACGTGATTCCCTTGAACACAGGACGATTCCGTGCAATAGGCCGCTTCAAATCCCGATTTGTCTCCTGCTTGCTAGGATTGTCTTTCCCATCAACTGCAGCTTCTTCACTCTCGCTTGCAGTCTCCCACTCAGATTCCCCATCATCAACATCATCATCATCATCTGCCTCTTCAGCCTCGAACTCCTCAGAATCGACACTGTCATTCACGTCAAATTGAATGTTCCCATGCTTGACAGCAGCGTCTTTGAACAGCCAGGATGCTTGCATTTGCTTCTTCACAAGACGCTCCACATAATCGGGAATTTTACTACCCGACTTCGAATCCGACTCACTCGCAGATTGTTGCGAGCATTCATTGACGAACATGATCGCATCTAGCAGGCTTTCCTTGTGAAGAGAGAGGAGTTCGTAAGCCTGCATGAAGGAGGGTATCAGTGTCGCAAAACAGTATAACTGAAACTACCCACTGGATATAGACCAGATGATATTTTATTTTGAAATGATCTGAAGACTTGCACATGACTTACAGAATAAAAAACAGAAGAGAAAATTGATATGTACATGGCGTTATTAGTTAGAGCGTGACCTTCTTTACGGTAATAAGGACCCGTTGTCACCACAAGAACCATGGTAGAAAGTGATGACTTACCTGGGCTCTTCTCCACAAACTTTTTCTGTGGCGGTTCGCTGGATTATGAATGGATAAAGCTCGAGTAGTATCACTAATAGCTCCTTCGGCATCGTGAAGCAGCAAGTGACATTGAGCCCGCTTACTATGCAGCACAACCCTCTCCTTCTTGGCTCTCACGGGACACAGTGACAGCGCCTCGCTGTACTTGGCAGCAGCACCACTAATGTCTCCAGCTGAAAATTTTGAAAAGCCTTCTAACTTTACAACAAGCGCTGCAGCTTGTTTCAAATGCAAATCCTCCTTAGGGGCGGTTTTTTCCCACTTGATCTTCTCCCGTTGGGCTGCAAAGTCATCCAGCAAATGCCTTGTCCTGGTAGAAATATGCGGTATTACCGCCGGTGAAGGATAAGGAACGTAGTCTTCCAGCAATACGTTGGTTAAGACCTCCCCCAAACTTTTGTGCTCTCCAAGGTTAGGTGACTCAGCTAGGTCTACTAGAGCAACTGCGGCCTTGTCTAACACCTACAGACACAGGTACGAAAAAGAAAATCTACATCAGACTACCTTGAATAAGTTGAATAGAAATATATAACATTTTGACAAGATCAGCTGACAGCCATTGGTATCATGCTAGGTGCCAGAGAGGAAGAACTCTACCAAACAAACCCAGTAGAACACTGAACATGAAAATTGCCAAATGAACCAGCTGATCATAAATGTGGCATCAAGGTATCTAGTTCCTGAACTGAAAATTGGTGACACAGGCAATACAGAGACTCGTCCGCAACCGCATGAGAGTACAAGAACATTCGTACTTCAGTCCCACAATCTTCCAATACAATACAAGATCCTCTGATGAACACGAAACTAGAGTCGTTGATGTATCAACTCCTGGAGATATTGGCTGAAGGAGTACGGCATGGCTAGGGATGATGAGATACTCACCTGAAGCCGGGTATTCGGATCCTGGACCAAGCACACCAAACAATCTACTGCCATGTATTGCCAGTCGTCCGACGACCTTGCAATGTTACAAAGGGCCTCAATTATGCCAGGGCATTCGGCTACGCGAAGTCTCCCCAATTTGTGATAACAGATTGTGTGCAAAACCCCAACACCTGCAGCCGAATTCTCATTTACGAGTCCTCCCCACATATGTGGGAGCTGGCCCAAAAAATTCACCTGGCAAATCGTTGGAAGAAACTCTTCCCTCAAGGCAAAACAGGTGATGAGTTGTAGTGACCAACATTGTAACTGACTAGCCCATTCCTCTGCCTTCCGAGATTCCATTTCCAGTCCATCCATTCCTCGTGTAAGAAGGTCACAATGGTAGCTCATGCGCTTGTCAACAAACTGCAAAAAGTGCGTGTAGACAATCTCAAGAGCATTAAGTGCCAGCTGAATAGAAAGCTCCAAGACGTCTCTATGCGCAGCGACAGCTGGAAAAGTGCTCTCGTAGGTAGCTAAGTGGTGAAGCGCCCGGACTGCTACTCGCAGCTCAACCCAAGTCAGTCGGCACCTTAAAAGCTCCACCAGAGCAGGGATCACACCTAGCAGCATCAAGCACCTCATTCAACTGGTGTACCCAAGACTTGAATGTGTAAGCCATGGGGTCGCAAACTGTTGGAACACAGTAATCTTTACAAAAAATAAACCCGATTAAGGTTACAGATCTAGGTCTCAATATCCCAAACTCTCTTCTGTTAACCGCACTCTAGTCAACATCTATATCGACTGAAGAATCACAACCCCTAGCAATCAAACCCGAAATTATGAAGACCATCCGCACAAGGGATACTTGAGAAACCCGACACTGACAGTATACCTGCCCGGACAGCTCGCAGTGCAAATTCTTCCGTGTTCATGCTGTAAGAACCAATAATGTGCGCAGCATAGTAAGGAATGAAAATATTATGGTCCTGTGCTAACCAATTTCGGTTTTTGATTCCCTTCCAGATGAGCTGGGCCATACACTCAAAAATTCCAAGTTCGATGAACTCTGGATCATTCGGATGCGCCTTAGCAGTATTCCAAAGGCTACTGACAGCGAGAACCTGCAAGGTGGCGATACAAATGCAATTACTTCAGTAATCCTCGTAACTCCAGGCTCGACAATCCAAAGCATTGATTATACAATTAATTTTGAAGCAGTTTACTCCGCGCAGGTTTTCAAACACTCATTCCAAGAATGCCTTTCTTCACCAAATGAACTTAAGACTTTCAATCAGGTGCAAGAACACATCGCAAACAGTGCAAAAAAACGAAATTAAATTGAATTAGATTAAATCAAAAGATTCATTGACTAGATAGGACGAGCTAAACGCACCTGACAATCTTCGTTCCGCGTAGAGAACTCCTTGAAAAAATTAGCAACATTTGCTCGCCACTTGGATTGATTGGTCTCTTTCATCACGCAAAAAAGACAGCCCAGGTAAGGGCAATCAGGAGTATGCCTTTCCATCTTGGCTATTTCTTCAGTAACTGCTCCGTGCCTATATAAGCAAACTAACTTAAGCACAAATCATATACATAGTCTACACGTGATATGCATAGAAACGCTCCAACAGCGGTGCAAGAGATGGGGTCGAACAGTTCATAACTACTGATTACAAAGAGGGAGAAGGATACAGAATGTAACTTTCAGAAAATTAGACCACAATTGTGTCTCGCTAGCACAAGCACATCCACTATTGACTGTGTACTGTTCATGCACACCTGAAAAACTCTCAAGTAAGCGAAGATCTTGTTCTAGTCGACCTTAATTTCAACTTCAGGTCGAAAACATATCAATATAGTCGCCACGGTACGATAGCTACAAAATGAAAAGAAACATTCTTTGCAGCAGGAGAGAGTTTCAACATCCAACAATTGTTAAGGTCACCAAACTTCTGTCAAGCCAGACCCATCCTTGCTTGTGGCACTCTTGAAATATCTTCGACAGGATAACCTCTAGAAAATATGTTATCGATTGACCAGGCTCTGCTTTCTAATATGCAGATGGGCACGAGCAGAATTCCAAACAAAAATCCAAATGGAGTTCGCTTCACAAATCTGGACTAAGCTAGCTGTGTAGTGACATGAGGGACTACCTGGATCCGCTGCATCACGGCAAATCGGCCCAGTCAGAAGTGAACTTCTCCGCCAGCCCCCTGATCAAAACCTCCTTCTCCCCCACCTAGTCACATAATCGCAACACACTAAACCCACGCCGCATCCACACTATCACATCACTCCAACACGTGTTTACGACGCCACTTAGGCGATCACAGGGGAAGTACGAAAGCCCTCCGGGGGCGACCGCTTTCGCATATGAACAATCTCATTGACGGTGAGTTAAATTGCAACAAATACGCAGAGGTTTGATACTGAGGCCATATAATGAACAACGATGAGTAATGAGAAGAAAATTGTATTGAGTTGGGAGTTATTAAATGGTTGCGAGAGACAAGTCACAGGTTCAGAAGGCGGAGGTTGAGGAGGAGGAGGAGAAAGAGTCGGTAGCGTAGCAATGGCACGAAACTACTAAACCTGGCACGTGCTTTGTCTCAAGCCCGGGGCCGCAGCATCGATGAATAAAGTTGGGGAACAAGCAGCGACGACAGAAGAATGAGCTGGAGAAGGAGAATAATGGCAGGGGGTAATAAAGAGCCTGGAACCCTAAGCTAAGTGGCGGAGACCTGGAATGAAATATGACACCGGAATATGAAATCTCGGCAGCAGACCAGGACACAAACCTCGGAGTTATCCCCCGAAGCATGTGACCCACAATTCCAGTAGTTCTCATAAGAGCTGTGACCTGCACAATCCGTGGTTGACTATGGAAATACCCAACTCTAGAAGAATCGAAATTAATGTAAATACACAACGGCGGAGGACTGGACGTGCCAGGCAGCCCGGCCGCAATGTGCAACATCAACTAGTGGTACAATTATTAGGAGAGTATGAATGCATTTCCTGCGTTGATGCCAATGGAGGACAACGTTGTTGACAATGTGGGTCACCTGGTGTGGGAGCTCGAGGGTCGCACAGATATGCCGCATGGAATTTCTGCAGTGCGTGGAGGAAAACTCGACAAACGCCCTCTTCTCTTATTCTCTCTCAATAATCTTGTGATGAATTCAAGCCAAAATTCTCGCTGCATTGGCTTTCTCTTGGACTCCATTCCTCGTCGATGACCTTCGCTTCTTCGGAAGTCTGGTCGCGTTTGTTGTTGGCCCAAACTGCCTCACACATGAATCGTTCATGTTAGGTCGGTGAAGACGGGTGTAGAAATTGTTTTCGTCATGCGCTGCTCCTTACATCCCATACAGTATTGATTTCTACACCTTTTGCTGATCTCAGCAATTAGAGGATCCGACACGGTCCCAAGCCTTCCTGCCAATTCTGTAGATGTGCTCTCAGATTTACACTTTTTGTGCTGAGACAGCAAGATTTTCAACCAATGAAGACTGAAGTGTTAAAAATAGCAGCTACTTTTACTCCTTTAAAATAATTATTTAATAAATCATAAATCTGAGTTTGTTGTCTTTGCTCACATTTACATTCAACTCGGGGAATATTTATGAGAATATTTAAGATAACAAGTGGCCTTTGAAAGTGAGTGCACATTCACACTCAAAACATGACAGTTTTCAGTCATTGTCCATTAAAGGATAAACACACATTAACCATTCACAAAGTCTGACTTTCATCAATTTAACATACAAGGTTCTTTACATAGAAACCCAGAATCACTGCAGAAAACAGTCATCTTTCCAAAAAATATGTACAGGTAGGAGATACTCTACATTTTCAAGCAATACTCATGGCACAATAAACGGTGCGTTTAAGTTTATTAGCAAATCCATCATGCACGTAGCACCCAGATTTTAAGTGATTGATAATAGAAAATCATTCGCCGCAGGCTGTGGGATCAGCATAAGCTGCCAGAACCGACCCTGAGGTGCCATGAATAACTTATATTTTATGGTGCTAAGAGTTTCATATTGCCTCGTGAGATCACGACGATGCGGATATCTACACAAACAAAATATTTAACACGTTGTTCAAGGATTGCTGTAATTTGAACCAAGGCTTTCGATTGCTGAATAATGCCTGATGGTAAGATTAGCGGTGTGCTGGACCCGGTCAATGCCTGGTCAGACTTCTGCAATTATGCAATGAGACCGATTTTTCTGTGCGTAAATTTAATGATGAGGTTGGATCCTAGATTTTAGTCTGAAGCTGAGTAAGGAGACATTAAAACCACAATCACCCCACACTCTGTCAATTCATAATAAGCAATCCTAAATAGAGAAGACTTGTAGCAGCCTTCATTACACCCTGTCACTTGGTATTCGAACAACCTGCAGGATTTGACATACAAGTCTCCTTTACTCATCACTTCCCAACCATAAGTAGCTCACACGGTGGGCACGGTTGGGATTCAGAAAGAAATATAAGCATTTTCAGACTTCTTCTCGTCTTTCCTAACTGTCCTTCTTCAAACGACCTATTCAAACTGTATCTCAAACAAAAGTACAGTGGCTCAATCGTCGGCACCAATTATATTGCATAAAAGAACTAGTTTTCCTCCTGGTGCATAGTGATTGAAAAAATACCACCCTCCACAAAAGCCCGACATGCATCAACTCTTGGCATAGTGTGCTCAGTAACACTGTAAGAATACTGATGTGGTTGCTTATAATCGTACAATTATGGTACTCGATAAACAGCCTCGTCTTTAAGAAGACTATCAATCTCTACTTTGAGTTTCCATAGTGGAGCATATCTTAGTCAAATATCTCCACACGAAAATAAACTCCACATGGAATCTAGTCCAATTTCACATTGCATGCTAACGCAGGAAACAAAGCTTCAACAGAGACACTCGCTGCCTTTAAATGAGGGAGAGGTTATGCAGCCAACTGCAGCGAAGGAGCAGGTAAGCATGGAACGAACTGTTTTCAAGCCTATGATGAATGATAAATCTTTACAAATGCCGTCGTACCTTGATTCACTATAACCTCCCCTTCTAGGAATGTGAGATTGCACAGAGACAATATTAAGAAAGAAGAGAAAGAAGGTTTCTTCCTTCCCCGGGTGGTAACTGTTATCACAGGTGCCTTGCTCATACTCTGCCCCAGAACGCTCCCACGCAAGATAGATGCTGCCGCCCTAGATCAGACAAAAAGATGCTCATCCCAGGCACTGCTGAGGCAATAGCATAATGCCATACCCTGAGAATCAAGTTGACATAAACTTTGACATACCTCTCACTTCTACAACATGGCATAAATCCACATCCAAATCTAACCCCTTAATAGTGTAAAAGCGAGTACTTGACTCGCAATGATATTTTGCCACCATCCACATCCAACTTCGCTCCAGTCACAAGCCAGTGCCCAGGCATGTCCTGTGGTCCTTTCTTCATCTCTGTGATATCCACAAACTTCAGCAGCTTCAACGGTTGTGCCTTAGGCCCTTTGTTGCAAACAGCTGAGTTGGGGTTGAATGGGGGCTGCAAAAGAAAGGAACGAATGTCGGAGATCCTTCAGTACAAACTAGTTCCAGGAACCCTTCTTGTTAATTCACCCATCGCAAGCATGCTTAAAACAATATGAACCATTAAAATATGCATGCTAAAGCGTTGAAGTCAAACACCTGTGGCAACAATTATGGCAGAAAGTAAGAATGATGGGGCTTGAGAAACAACGAGTCTTACTGGAGCTTTCTGTTGCTGTTGTTTCCCAGAAAAACCCAATTGTGAAAATAAGCCTGATTTCTGGGAAATAGCAGGAGTATTGTCCCACACAGAGCGTCGAATAGAACATTTTGGAACTCGTGAAAATTGAAGCTTCAAGCAAAGAACGTTCTTCATTCCACCGTCCGAAAGCTTTTTGGCAAAGTGACAACATAATCAAAATATCAGAGAAAACCAGTAAATATGATGTAGCGGATGAATTTACTGGTAGATAGACAGTCGCAAGTCAAATACCTACACCGGGACGCCTACTTCTTCTTAATACTACAACCCAAAACACAGAAGTGGTTAAGTGTACCTGCAGTTGCGCTCCAGTAACGATGTGAGCATCGTTCTGCTCTCCAAACCATGTTTCATTAAATTCAATGGCAGCCGTGTTAAGGTGGCTGAAGCCTTTCCACTGCACCGGCTCGAGCCATCGCGCATCATGCTCTTCGGGTGCTTTCCAAACGGGTTTTCCTATAGAAACATGGGTATCCCAATGGGGTTGCAATATCCGAGGAAGCGTTGTTAAATGCTGCAGATGAATTGCAAGTCTGTTACACTTCACTCCTTCCAAGTAGAGACGAAGGCCCGTTACTGGTCTCCTGCCCACTAAGACCTGCTCCAAGTCAAATACGAATGTAGAAAGATCCATATCAGAAAAAGAACAAAGCCCCACAAATCAGTACAAAATGACGTAAATGATTGATATAGTGATCTTAATGACGTTGTCCATCCTGAAACTGCGGTACCAACTTGTGCAGTTGTGAAATGGTAAAATAAGAAAGAGATAAAGAAAGAACATCGAGTCGCAAGAGGTGCTGAGACCACAAGACCTGAAATCCAGCATTATACAACAGGAAGCAATGACACGGATCATGGACGACTTCCATCCCATAAGCGTTAAAAAGTAGTATTCTGGCCATCACTAACCTGATTCGTGCTTACATACAACTTGGGTCCCATCAAACTGAACTGCATCACTGGACAGACGGGCTCTTTTCTCCTAGGTCCAAGCGCCAGCTCAGCTAATGAAGGTGACCATTGAGTCGGTAGCTGAAACTCCAGAAAGTTTTGTAACTCTTCAATGGGAGGCTTATCTGCATGAACATGCAGGTAAGCAATTAAATCAAGAAAGATGGGCATATGAATCCTGTATTCAGCAATAACCATGGCTCTACACTGCAGAGTGTGAAACAAATTTCACTCTTTCGAAGCTGTACCTACAAAGCACGTTTTCATCAGCAAGTGAAAAAGTACATGAGAATGAACGTACATCTCATATATAAGTTGACAGCGTGACTTAAATATCCATTGCCAGGTATGCCGCTTATCAATGAAGAAATCGGCACAAACGTCATAGCAATGACATCAGGAGTTTCTGGAACTGTTGCGAGCCATCTATGATGCGAATCCATCATGTCATTACCTCCTCTACGCCACTGGTAAATCTCTATACCCTGGAAGAAAATTGAGCAATCTCATAAGCTATATGTATCCAATATTACAACTTCCCTACACGAACTTACTACAGGCTAGGTCTGCAGTATGCTAATCAAAACCAGACACTTCTTTCTAAGAGGAGAAAACAAGCTGTGCAAAATTTGAAGACTAATTCCCCTTACCTTTGCAATAGCTGTTCCTGGTACACGTCACTAATCATAAAAGATACGGGAAAAACACTTACTTCTTTAGAGTATGATGTGGAAGATGTCGGTAGCTTCAATCGAGCTGCCGTACTAGTTGGAGAAAATGCATCCATAATCTGTACCCAATGAAAGCACATGACATGTCATTCTACCAGATGTCGCTCTTCACCAGTTCGAATAAGACTGAAGTGAATGTTTTGATTAATCGTTGGACCAACTAAGCTTTGGTAACTATTTACATGTAACATAGCTTAATATCTTATAAACTATCTACAGCTTCATGGTGCCTAACCTATTACCTGAACTCGCAGATTAATAGACCGCGATTCAGAGAATAAATTGTGGGGAGCGTATTATGACACCAAAATATGCTCAAGATGATATCCTTCATTTGCGGAAGGCCAGCCCATACCTTATCTTTCCCAGGTCGCTCTCTAGGAGTGCTGTAACCACCTGATTGACCTGTAAATCTCCTTTCAGCCATAGTCTCCATACGTTTCAGGACCTCAACATTAGAGCAGGGTGAATTTTGAAGCTGTTTGACATAGATTACATCCTTTCCTCCAACTTGGAGACTTGTAATTATGTGAGTCCCATATTTTTCTATAAAGCTGAGGAACAGTGTGAAAAAAGAAGCTTTTAGTCTTTGCATTTTTCCCCAAGCAATAAGCATCAAAACCAGTGAGAGAGCGAATACAACCCAATTCCATTTATTCTAAAGACTCAACACTATCGAGAGAGTTAACTCTTCACTCAGAAGGCGTTGAAAAGAAGTAACTCTTTTTTTTGAAAGAATTACAAAAAATATAATTTCATCAACGAAAAATGCTTAGCCAGAGACAAAGAAAAGCTCATTAAGGAAACAGTCATGATGTCATCTATTTTACGGAAGGGATAGCATTTTCAACCTGGCTAATGCTTTCGGCTCCCATGAAGCTGGAATTGCTTTTCTAATTTCATCTCGTAAATTCAGAGGGGTCCTTGTCAGCTGCAAATTATAGAGTTTAACAAACCAACCATCCAACGCTAGGGCTTTCGTAGCATTCTGATCTGTTTGCCAAGGACCATGGAAGCTGAACATATTATTGAAGAGACCCAACGGCATCTTCCCATCAATAGCGGCAGCTTGGTTAAAACGACCACACATCTGCACATAAAAATAGCGATCACCATTACGACACAATATGTGGTAGGAACAGTATGGCGTCAAGACAACAGTCCTGTCAAAGACTGCCTTTCGAAAGTCGCCCGTTTCTAAAAACCAAACCAGAATTACCATCACCTAAAATTAGTTTCGTCAGTTAAAAGCACAAACCCAGGTCTTTGAGCGTATGTGTATTCGCATTGCAAAATCAACAATTCTACTTAAACCAAACATTGGACAACCACAGTTTCTGGAGAGGTATCATATGTACTCCAACATCAAGATGAATCAATTCAATACAGGTTCAAAAATGCTTGAATACCCATCCCGCCGGGAAAGCTCTAAAACGTTTGAATTCCTCGGAGTATATCTAAAATACACAAGACATCCCCCACCGGGCAAAAGATGTACCTAAACATTTCGTAATAGACTGAAAAATCCACTAATCATCTGCAATTGAGCTGCTGAATATCTGCTGTAGATAATGATCCTCAAACATACTCTCTCAATTGTATTCAGAGAAGGACATATCTATAGTGTTGAAACGGATGACAAGGGCTAAGTTCACATTTGCGAAGGATGCCCCATCAAAAAGTAAAGAAAATACTGTTTTTCTTCTGCTCCAAGCTGCGGGAGAAGATAGACTAGCCCAATAATTCGGGACAAGATTCACCTAGTGATTACTACTCTTCAACCTGTAGCTCGGTGATATGGACTTACTACGGTAACAACCTCAACTCTCAACCCCACACCAGACTCAAACCCCGAGCAGATGTTTGCTGTAATAAATATAATTTGGCAGCCTGTAAGAAGAGCCAAAGAGAAAATACCTGGGCATATGTCAAAACTTCCGAGGCATAGTGCGTTTTTTCCCCTTTGTCACACCTTATGTCAATGGACACATTGGGAATCACAACATTCCCAGGCGCGTAGATGTCTTGTGTATTCTCTTCATCAATTTCAACTAAACGGGATCCAGAAGAGCCCTTGGCAAACGCAAGACGAAAATCCGAGGTAACGTCGAAACCTTTCCCTAGTGCATTAGCAGCATCCAAAGCAACCTTCAATGCGTACTGTGGCCCCTTGGAAGGCTTGGTGTGAACCGCGCCTCGAGTGCGGTCAAACTCTGGAGTTCTTTGTGAGGTCCTCTCACTTCTATTATGAACGGCTAATGCAGTATCCAATTCTGGGAGAATGGCTTTCAGACTCTCTGCTTGTCGTGCTTGTTGAGCGGGCGTGTATGGGCGTTTGGCAGGGCTTCTGAACCCTACACGCGCTGCACGCGTTGCCCTAGCTATGCGCGCAGGATGAGACGGTGATTCGTAATTCGTGTGCTCCTCAATTCTAGCCGATCCACGTGACGATTCTCGACCTAAATTGTGCACAGAGTAGTGCCCTGCGGCCATGGAATGAGTGTCAAACTCAAACCCTCGAGTTTCCATAATTTTTCAGGCGACAATCATCCACTATTTACAATCCAATCTGCGCCGTTCCCTCAAGTGTTCAAGGCGGTGCCAGTCTCGAAGTGCGCTGAAGGACATCAAGTTGCCTATGCACCAATGCTTCCCATACAAAACCAGAAACAGCTGATCGCTAATCCACGACCAAGAAAAAGTCCTGGCACATCACCATCACCCGCACACAACCAAGCCGGGGAATGCGAAAACAAGACCAATACGGACACAGACAAGAAGCGACAAATCCGGGTGGCAATCAGAGGGGGCGCGAGAATGCGAATTGGATCGGCGAGGAGGCAAGGGGAGGAGGGAGAGGAGAATAACACTACGGTCGTGTCACAAGGTGGAGAGTTCACACCGACGCAGTGTTCAAAAAAAACATTCAGCCCGGTTAGCGGGCATCAAAAGCGGAGCGCACGAGCGATGGAAAAAACGAGTTTAAGACCCCCCAGCAGTCGACTAGCAGGGATGAGAAGACGGAAGAACAAGGAGTGGAGGGGGTAAAGGAGGCGGAGGCGGCGGTGCATCCATGGTCGCTAAGGAAAAAACGATGGTCACGGTACCGACAAAAACGAGTGGAGTTGGAGAAGCTCGGCGGCGCCGGTACAGACCAAGGGCGAGAGAGAGAAAGGAAAAGAGAGCAGGGGAGGGAAAGGGGTAGTAGAAAACCAAGAGCGGGAGAGAAGATGGACGTGAAGAAGTTAATTGCGACGCAGACACAGCGCCGAAGAACACAGACAGAGAAGCAACAAGAGCAGCAACAGCAACAGGGAGTCGAATGAAGCAAAGAGAGAGGGGGTCCGGTGAAGGGGAAGGGGACGGGGAGGGTGACAACGTGGTGAACTCCCACAACCCGGCCCGTTCCCACTCTGCCTCCCCCAGTTCCACGAAACCATCCCATTGGAACGCGGTAATCCACCCCCTCCTACGAAAACCAATCCCCTACTCTACCATTCCCTACATGTGTGAAAAAAAACTTACTCCATATAATAATAAATATAACTTTTATAGTTAAGAAACTGTATGGTACCGTTGCGTTTTCAAGTGGAACTTGTGTGCGATATTCTTGATAAAGTGTAAGGAGTAGTGATTGAAGGGGGAGTTGGAAACGATCGAATTGTGACGAGAAATCAAAGTCAGTAGTGATTATAAAGTGCATTATTCTTTAAGAAAAGTTTAGGTTGTGTTCCTGGGGGGGGGGGGGGAAGAAGATATTCAGAAGCGAAGTGTCCGAGGCTAACGACGAGCCCTGGTACCGAGCCGAACACAATACCAAAGGACGTGGGGTGGGTGGTTATAAAGTCCATGATAAAAAAGAGTAGAAAAAGGAGGAAGGGGAAGATTCCGCGAAAGTGCGCCAAAGTGGGGAACTAAGTGTTGACTTGAGCCACGGGGGTCCATTGACTTGACTCCCATGTCATGACCCCCTCCACCGTGGCAGTGACGTCAGCTGGCCTTTGGGTCCATACCCCCTGGAAAGCTGCGGGTCTTAGGCTTCGTCAGCATTGACATTTTGGACAATAAAAATATTACAAATATTATTATATTTGATGCATTCCTTGACTTATTTTATTCTACAATTTTTAATAATCGTGTGCTTCTTTTTGGAACACATTATGGTATTCTATTTAAGTTTGGAAATTATCACAAGAATGTGAAAATATTTGTAGAACTTAAGATTTTGTTTGAGTTTTCTTCTTTCTTTTACTTCTTTTAGGCTTTTTTTTGTACATGCAAAATGTAGGAAAATAATTTTTAAAAATTATATGATTTTTTTTTTTGAATTTGGTTTAGTTAGCAGTATTTTTGAAATTGGCATTGGACTATGCTAGTGGCTAATATATGATACTTGATCATCTAAATGCAACTTTATCAAAGTGATGCTGTGGAAGTTAATACTAGTTAATGAACAATGACTTGCATTGCAACATTCAAATATGTTCTTGATTGTTCATCTGGAGATAAAACATTAATGAACACAATGTAGATAGATACCAAATATAAATATTTATCCAAGTAAATAAATTTATATTTATTTAAAAATAAAATAAGTCCACATGGTAGTAAAATTAGGATAATATTAGTTGTAAATAATCATTTTAGCTACTTTGTGTGTGTAAATCCACAAAGATTTTTCACAATAAATAAATAAATAAACATATATATATATATATATATATAATCAATAAAGTTTAATTTTAGTAAAACCATCCTTTTTGGCAATCAAACGATTGTCAGTATAGATAACAATAGATTCATGAAGAAATATTGATAACATTCATGACACTATCAATAAATATCTCAAAATTTTGATTCTTGTGAGCAAAAAAGGTGAGAAGAATGAAATATGTTATAATTTTTCATTTGATTTATGTCCATAGAAAAGAAAGAATAAACATGTAATTTATTATAAGTTCCAAATAATAGAGGCTGAGACTTAAATTTAATAGTTATTTTAAAATAGACAATGTTTGTAAAAATGAGTCACAAAAAAGTTGATGGTTACTTGATGTAATATATATCCTGTAAAATATAATATTTATTTTTTAATTTTCTTGAATATTTTTAAAATTAAATATACTTTAAAAAATATAATTATAAATTTAAGATTCTAATAAAAAGTTATAAAATTCAAATAAAAAAGATAAAATAGGTATTATATAATTAAGATAATAATGCAACAAGATGATTTCCATTGTACGTCAAGGACATGAACTAAAAGATGATGCATAAACCAATGAAATCCGTCTCAAAGAAAGAGTAACAAAATAGAAATAAGGAAGTATGTATATTAAAAAGAAACTAGAATGGCTTATTACTAAAAAAACAAGGAAACTTGAGATTCTTGAAAGTAGACTAGAAGCAAGAAAAGACTTGACAAGAGAGAAGAAGGCTTCACTCTTGTCTCTATATATATTACGTAACTAGAGGCTACATAGCAATGTCCTACTATAAAAGCTTATAATATGTAAAAATTAGTTAAAATATATTATATTTTAATAAATCTAGATGTATGTTAGAATGGTTAGTAGATTAGTTTAAAGAGAGTGGATTTAAGAAACTTTATTTTGAGTTTTATCTTTTTTGATTATAGCATTTAAAACAATTGTAAGACCTAAATGTTTAGTATAAAGCCTTGAGAAGAGATTAAAGCCTAAAGAAGAAAAATCTTAACTAATAGGAAGCTTATTGGAAGGGATGAAAGTAAGGCATGGTTGGATGAATGCAAAGAATGAAAAACTTCATCCCTATTGGTCGAAGGCCATGCCCAATGGGCTTCAAGGAGGCTGCCTGAGGCCTTATTAGGGATTAGGATTTCTCTATCGAATGCATTCGAGCTTTGGAGGCTAGGGTCAGCAAGTTCAGGGTTTTGGGTATAATTTGGGTCAAGAGTTTGTGTGATTTTGAGTTTTTATGAAGGAGATATAGGTGTTCAAAATTAAGATATCAAATTTGTACCTACTGTCACTCTTTGAAGCATAACATATGCGCACGGAGAGCAATGAAAGATCGGTGATTGGAGTTGAAGAGGACACTTTCTTTGCTATACTTTACATATATTGATTGATGAATTCCAAGTCTGGATGAAGGAGTTATAGGGCATTGAAGACAGCACATGTAATTCAAAGGCAGTAAGTGAGTCATTTTGTTGATAGTAATGGTTGGAGCCATATCTTGAGTTTTTGGGCGAATTTTTGGCTCAAAATTTGTAAAAGTATGTATTATTAAGTTAAAAAGCTATAGATCAAAGTTTCATGGTATTTGAGTACTTATTTTGTGAGATATGAAGAAATTAGCACATGGGTATATGTAAGCTAGGGTTTAAAGCTATTATTAGGATTTTGGTGATATCTCAAGATCCATAATGAATTTACAATTGAATTTTTTGGAGAAAGTTTTTAAAAGTATATCAGTACTTGATGTAAAATTTAAGATTGTTTGAACATTCCGATCGCGAGATATGAGTTGTTAAAGTTTAAGAAACATCTCTCATAAGGATATATAAGATTTTAAGATCTTTATCATATATTTGGATGTTTTCTTGGTACTTAGGCTTGTGTTTTGATGAAATTGCCCTAAAAGAAAAAATATTATATGTATAAAGTTGGTTTTTTTATATCTTAGACTTGATTGAGTATTTAGTAGGAGCCAGAAGCCGAGCACTTTCTTGAGGCAAATTCTCTCTACCTCGACATATTGGTGCTTCCACTGAGAGAGCCTTAAGGCACTAATTATCTCAACAAGTTAAGATGGAAGATCAAAATCTAGGGTTTGAATTATCAAGAGGAATGGATGCCCATGATTTATTTAGGACATTTGCTCAATTCATGGAAGAAAGGCAATAGGTATATGGAGAGGATAGGAATACCACCAAAGCTTTACAAGTAGTGGTGGATAAAATTGGGAGGTTTGATGGGAAGAATATCACCAATTTTTTAAGGATTTACACATGTGAAATGGAAGTACATCAAGTTTTAGAAATAAAGATGATCACTACCTTTGATTTGGTAGTGATACCAAAAATTAGAGAAAGGGTGCAAGAGTTGCATGCAAAGGCTATGTCATAGAAGAAATTTAAAGAACTCTTGAAAGACGAATTTTTTGAAAAAGATTCAGAAAAAATAATCAAGGTGAGTTTTTTGGAGTGGATTGAGCATAGACCAGGGAATCAAACTCTCTCTACCCCAACAACGATGTTCTATAGGACTTCTAATATGTATTGACTTTATAGGATAAATGCTTTGACTTAAAAGACAAGTTTTTCTATGTGTAGGCCACATAGTTAGCTTAATCTTCAGTTAACAACATGTGTAGCACATGATCCACTTGTTGACCACTTTTTTAATAAAAAAAGTCAATTATAGATACCTATAAAATCAAAGCAAGGTCTATAAAGCTTCTAAGAAGCTTTTACAGAAGATACTATAAAATTAACTTATATTTATCTACTTCTACTTACTTCTACTTATTTATACAAATAATTATTAGCTTACATGTGTATGTCCATGAAATTACTTCTCTTTCTAGAGACAAGTTCCATGAGGAGTAGTCATCATATGTTGAAAAAATCTATAATTCAACAAATTATATTTGTTACATAATTAGATCTTTATTCTCTTTAAAGATGATTGATGGGGCCTCTCAACCATCGATAGTTTTCCATAATAAGGTGGAAGAACCACCTTGTTATTTGATCATTGTTGAGGCCTTCAAAACTTCCTTAAAATAAAATATTTGGAACACTATGAGGAGTTGTTCCTACATCTAATAAAAGTACCAAACATTGGAAGTCTCTTCCAAGGTTGTGATACCAAACACATTGTCTCTCATCATTAATTTGAGGAAAAACATGTCGTTCTTGAAGATCTTTATCTCGATTGTATCGTCTTAAAGATTATGACAATCACAATGTCTTCTCCGATAGGTCAGCAAACGAAGGCTCTTCAGTCAAATCAGCTAGTTTTTGGTTCCCTATCTCTTTAGCATTACAACTACAAAGAAGCTACAAAAAATG